AAAGATATCGATAATAGTTTAGCCGCTAGATGGCTCCAAAGTTCAACTTTATATTTTGCATGATGATTCTTGTAATATTCTACAAAATTATTTATAATTATCGTAGTTTTGATAACAAAATAATTGTTAAGGCATTTTTAAAAAGATAATTAAATTCTTTTTTGATACATTTTAGAAATTTAATGACATCATTATTAGTTTAGCCGCTAGATGGCTCCAAAGTTCTACTTTATCATTTGGATGATGATTTTTGTAATATTTTACAAAATTGTTTATACTTTTTGTAGTTTTGATAACTAAATAATTGTTAAGGCATTTTTAGAAAGATTATTAAATTCTTTTTTGTTATACGTTTGAAATTTAAAGATATCACTCTTAGTTTAGCCGCTAGATGGCTTCAAAGTTCAACTTTATATTTTGCGTGATGATTTTTGTAATATTTTACAAAATTGTTTATAATTTTCTTAGTTTTGATAACCAAATAATTGTTAAGGCATTTTTAGAAAGATAATTAAATTCTTTTTTGACACATTTTTGAAATTTAATGATATTATTATTAGTTTACCCGCTAAAGGGCTCCAAAGTTCTACTTTATCATTTGGATGATGCATTTTGCAATATTTTATAAAATTGTTTATAATTCTCCTAGTTTTTCAAACAAAATAATTGTTTAGACATTTTTAGGAAGCCAATTAAATTCTTTTCTATGATTATTAAAAATTAAAGATATCACCATTAAATTCGCCGCTAGATGGCTTCAAAATTGAACTTGAACAAAATTATTTCAAATTTCTGTTTGTTTGCGTGTTTAATCATCATTTATCTCCGTGGAAATTGGCTCGTGCAAATGAATATGCACGCATTTAATTTTTAATTTGTAATTTGCGTTTATTTGCCGCTTCACGCTGTCCATAGTTGAAAATATTACAACATGTTGTGTGGAGTGATGATTCGGATACTCCTGGTTTTTTGTGTGTTTGCATTGTTGTGTTTTTTACGGTTAGTAGATACATCACACGATTCTCTGGCAGCTAAATAAAAGATAAATCAGATAAACACCGTGTGAACGCACGCGCACGCGGGGGAATTGGAATTCAGACAATATCCGCATTTTTGTTGGCGGTTTACACCAACTTTCCATTTGCACACAGTGAGTTGGGTATACTTTCGCGACTGAAACTTTTATCAGTGAATAAAAAGAGCATTCAATTCCGGATGTGAAAAAATAGTGGTTTTGAGTTTAAATTGTTTGTAATCATTGTGGTTTTATAAACAAATTTATTGTTGAGGCGTTTTTAGGAAGGTAATTAAATTCTTCTTCTATAAACTTTTAAAAATTAAAGATATCAGTCATAGTTTAGCCGCTAGAGGGCAGGGAAATTGAACTTTTTAATTTGGGTGATGATAATGGAATATTTAACAAAATTATTTATAATTCTTGGAGATTTTGCAACAAATTAATTATTAAGGCATTTTTAGACAGCTAATTAAATTCTTCTTTTATAAACGTTTAAAATCCGAAGATATCATTAGTAGTTTAGCCGCTAGATGGCTTCAAAGTTCAACTTTATAATTCGGCTGATGCTAAATACAATATTTAACAAACTTGTTCATAATTCTTATAGTTTTATTAACACAATAATCAATGCGACATTTCTAGAAAGATAATTAAATTCTTTTTCCACAAACGTTTAAATTTGTAAGATATCATCATTAGTTTAGCCGCTAGATGGCTCCAAAGTTCAACTTTACCATTTGAATGTAAATAAATGTAATATTTAACAAAGTTATTAATAATTTCTACAATTTTATTACAATAATACCCGGCAATGTCTCATTTTATAGATAATTATATTCCCTATCGATTTCATAAATAATATAATATGTAACATTGTTACTTTGTCGTATACAGGGCGTTAAAATCAATTTTCTTGAATGAACTTGACTGAAACTTTCAACTTTCACTCGACAAATCATTCATTTCAATTACACCACGCTACAATTTAACATTCAACAGTGGAACAGTGCATTACTGCTATCAGCGCCTGCTTCCATTTATTGCGGTTTATCAGCACTTAGCCGCTTGTGCAAACATTGATTCATCATCAATTCATGGCAATTCTGGCGTCGCGCCTGTGTCGCTTTATCTGCGAGCATGGCGTAGACTTGTTTTTGCGCTCGTTACGCGCCATGTTATGTAGGTCGTTAAAGTGTAATACGTAAGAGCAAGAATTTACGAAAACGGCTATTATCAATTATGGATATAATATGAGACACGAGCATTTATTAAACTTTACAAGTTATATTTATTTATATGTCTAATAATAGTAATAATAATGTCAATATTACTTTTTTGCGTTTCTGTGGAATTGTGACCACAATAGTACAAAAGCACTTGGAGTGACGCGCACGAAATTAATGAAAGCATTTATTACGTTTATCTCTGGATGTATCTCGAAGGCGAGCATTGTTGTTTGCATCGGTGTGGTGTGGGGGATAATTTATCCGTCTAGCCGCCAACGGATGGATTTGAACGTGGTTTATTTTGGGTTATAGAAAATTTTACCACAGGATTAGGAAATTTACAGAATGGATAAGAATTTAATTTTGCAATAAAATATTTTTTAAATTGTTTATATTTTTTGTAATTTTATGAACAAAATAATTGTTAAGACATTTTTAGAAAGATAGTTAAATTCTTCTTCGAGTCACCTTTGTAAATTAATGATATCATTAGTAGTTTAGACGCTAGAGGGCTTTAAAGTTCTACTTTATTATGTGGATGATGAGAATTGTAATATTTTACAAAATTGTTTATAATTCTTGAAGTTTTACAAACAAAATAATTGTTGATAATTTTTAGAAAGCCAATTAAATTCTTCTTAGAGTCAGCTTTAAAAATTAATTATATCATTAGTAATTTAGCCGCTAGAGGGCTTTAAAGTTCTACTTTATTATGTGGATGATGAGAATTGTAATATTTTACAAAATTGTTCATAATTCTGGAAGTTTTACAAACAAAATAATTGTTGATACATTTTTAGAAAGCCAATTAAATTCTTCTTTGAGTCTTTTTTAAAAAATAATGATATCATTAGTAGTTTAGCCGCTAGAGGGCTCTAAAGTTCAACTTTATTATGTGGATGATGAGAATTGTAATATTTTACTAAATTGTTGATAATTCTTAAAGTTTTACAAACAAAATATTTGTTTATACATTTTTAGAAAGAGAATTAAATTACCCTTTGATAGATGATTAAATTTTGAAGGTATCTTAATTACTTTAGCCGCTAGATGGCTCCAAAGTTCAACTTTATAATTTGCAAGATAATAATTGAAATATTTAACAAAATTGTTAATAATTTCTACAATTTTACTACAAAAATACTCGGGAATGTTTCATTTTATAGCTAATTGAATTCCCTATCGGTTTCTTTTAATATTTTATACGTAACATTGTTACTTTTTCATATACAGGGTGTTGAAATCAATTTTTATAACAAACTCTACAAAAAAACATTTTTTCAGTGTTACCTGACTTAGCAAAGGAAGCTTTTAAATGATTAATGTGAATATTAGTAATGTAAAATTCAAATTACCCTAACGTATGTATTTGTACGTATGTTTTTTGCATTTTTAACCATTGTCGAAGTGTGAGTGTGGAAAACATGCGATAAAATGTGCACATCGTGCGCAATTTTCGTAATCATGAAACTCGCCGCGCGCTCTCGTTGAAGAGGGAATGTAATGAGCGTGTGCGAGCGCGAGGAAAGGCCCTTTGCTCGCCGCCACCAGCGCTACCGCCGCCAAGAGCTATAGAGCGTTTGGTGTGAGTAATTACATCACGCCATGTTTCCTGAGCCATAACTATTTCGCATTCGCCTGGGAGAGAATTCACAAAATTTCAGTTCAAATCGATAGAAATTTAAAAACTAAAAAAACATTTTTCAATGCGTTTTTATATTTGCACATATGAACGCTACGCTCATTTACATTCCCATCGCGTATGTGACTTATTGTGATGAAAATGAAAATGAAGGAAAGCTTTTAGCCACGCTTGAGCGGCGCTCCTGTGCTTACAAACACGCGTTTTCAGTCACAACTCAAACTCCAACTAAAAGCTCGGGTATTATCGAAGTAGTCAAGTGGCACATGGAATGCAAACCGATTAAAATACGAAATTTGGGAGATTTTACGAGCAAAGTTCACGAAACACATTCAAAAGACTAAATTCCTAAATTAATTGTGGATAAAATCTTGAAAATTAAATCCTGCAGCTCATAAACCTGAATTTGTAGCATTTTTCTTGTGAATTACGTCTTCATTTTCCTCTTAGAGGCGGCGCGCGGCGTCTTATCGTGTTGTATTTTCGGTAAATTATGAAAACTGCCCGCGCCAGTGTCTGAAAGTAAAGCAAGCGCTTTATGTGCTTTATCTCCCTTAAGCTTTGTGCTCATTTTACGCTTTTTACGTTCCTCGTATAGTTTACGCGCTTCGTCCTGTTTTTCCACTCTGCGATATATCCTTCCCATCCAATAATCATTTCCTTGGTTACATCGTGCAATTTTACGTATTTTACAAACATTACGAGGCATTTTCAAGCGAAAAACACGAAATTTTCATCAATTTTGTTAGAAATCGTGGTTTTCTTGTAAATCTCGTCATCCTGTCACGATGAACACATTTATTCTCGTCTTATCGACAGATTCCTTTTGTTTTTCCTGAGTGAAATGTCTTCACTAGAAGATAGCTTCACTACTTTACTAAGTGAAGTTGTTTTTGCACAAAGAACAAAAAACTACGAATGAAAGGTGAAAGATGAAAAAGTTTGCTACGATATTATTTATTCCGAACATGTTTTTTGTCTTCTCCGCCTGCAATTCTTCGTCCCTCAATCCAATAATGTGACGTCGCCGATGCTGAACTAATAATTCTGTTTGTTTGCCGGCGTTTTATTATTTCTGCCACGGGCCTTATTGACGCTGCTTGTGTTGTTACAGGTCGAGATCGGCGATGTCATACTGAAAGTCAACGAGACGGACGTAAACACATTTAGCACCAAAGAAGGTAGACGAGATTTTTTTGATTAGAAAAGTTTCAAGAAAAAAAAATGAGGAAAATTCTAATGAAAATGAAATTATGATTTTAGTGTTGAAATGTCTACGTTTATCCACGGATCCTGTGACATTAAAAATCAAAAGAGGTAATTATTTAATTTAGTATTAATTAAATTATTAAAAATGTTTATTTTGGTGTTTTTGCTTTAAAATGCGAATTTTAGCATAAAATTGAAGTTTTTCTTCGGAAAACGTGAAATTCTGATGATTTTTTTTAAATATTTGATGAGTAATTAAAAATTGTGAGGTTTTTATGTAGTTTTTTTGCATTAAAACGCGAATTGAAGCTCAAAAATCGACATTTTTCTCCAGAAAACTTGAAATTTTGATGATTTTCTTCAATAATTGACGAATAATTAAAAATTGTGAAGTTTTTATGTAGTTTTTTGCCTTAAAACGCGAATTTAAGCTCAAAAATCGTCATTTTTCTCCAGAAAACTTGAAATTTTGATGATTTTATTTAACATTTTGATGAATAAATAAAAGTCATGAAGTTTTTATGTAGTTTTTTGCTTAAAAACGCGAATTTAAACTCAAAAATCGTCATTTTCTCCAGAAAACTTGAAATTTTGATAATTTTATTCAATAATTAACTGATAATTAAAAATCGTGAATATTTTATGTAGTTTTTTGCTTAAAAACGCGAATTTAAACTCAAAAATCAATATTTTAGTTTAAAAAAATACAATTTTTATCGATTTTCCCCATTTTTAGATCCAAAAATAAAGGCAACAGTCCGCCAACAGCAATTGCACTCGACCGACGGGGACCTAGCCGGCGTGCATAGAACAACCTCTACGCCGCCGGTCGTTTCCGGTTTACCGGCATACCAGCAGCACCCGTTGCAGCCGCAGCAGGCGCAGAATCGGCCCGAGCCGCTCATCCACAAAACAAATGGCACCGATAAATCCGGCGATCAGTTGCAGCACAACAACAAGACGACGACGACGAACGGTAACAAGGTGCACCATCGCAACGCACGCCACCTACAACAACACCACCAGGACGAACTGCAATGGGAGCCCCTCGGCGGCGAGAAGCCACCCAAGGCCAAGTACGAAGCGTACATGATGACTGGCGAGCATATTCTGAACATCTCCAAGACGCAACCACAGCCAATTATAGTACCTAAACAATTATTTAAGGTATGCAATCAAAATTCACAACTATACATTCATAGATGGCGCTTCTCAATATATTTTTCTCTGTAGGATAATCGCATGAAGTATCAAAATAGCCACTCGAATCACCAACGACAAAACGTGACGAACCAGCCGCAGCACAATTCGGTGCCCAACTCCCCCAACGAAATGGAGATGGGCCACCGATCCAATCACCATCATCATCACAACGCGACGAACTCGGCGACCACTTCCCCTGTCAGTGCCAACAAGCGCACGCACGATGCGCTCTCGACGCCGTCGCCGTCGGAAGGCGGCGGCACCGCTGCCGGCAAACAATTCAATAACTTTGTGCGCACCTCACGCTCGGAGGATCAACTACAGGACGCGAAAAGTATCAGCACGGTGGATATCGACGTGGATGACGATATCACCAGCTCATTGAATACTTTATTAGATACCCGACCGGATGCTAGCTATGGTTCTGTTGGCAGCGGGATTGGTACGGCGCCCGCTAGCCAAGCGGATCGTGATCGCATCGTATGGACATACAATGCGCCCGTCGATGGCCAACAGCTACCAATCGTGCCGGTTGGTAACGTTGGCAAGGGACAACTGTGTCATACCATCTCGAATGGTAGCAGCTCATCACCGACGTCGTCGTCGCCGATGCGCAGTGATTCCCCACAGTCGCCTACTTCTGTGTCTTCCTCGGTGATGTCCAGCCATAGTGGGAGTCGGCGTGCGCCACCGTATGCGTTGCCCAATGGCCCGCATTCCGATGCCGCCGCGTATGGCGCGCCTACCAATGGTGACTTTAGCGTCTCCGAGGCCATCTCGAATATCTCCAGTCCGGACTACAATGACGATGACAGCATGGGCATCCGCGACTGCGTGATGGAGATCAGTGATCATAGTGATAGTGATAGTACGTTGCTGGTGTCCGAACCACGGCAGCCGCATAAAACTGCTGCGGGTGGTTGTAATCAAGGTGATTCCGAGCATCGCATTGTGATACAGGTGAAGGGACCCGATAAGGATACGGTGAAGGATCGCGGGAAGGGGCAGTGTGCAAACAATCGCCGCGAGCAGGTGAGTCATTTTAAGATTCATTGATGATTGATGATTGATATCTTATCAATTTATGGATTGTTATCATCAATTGGTATAACATGTGATTCTGTATTATATTATATTATATTGTATTGTCAACCTCATTTTTGTGTGTGATATTAACTTGTGTGTTTGTAAAGATTTCGGCGGAGTACGAGTTTGAGGACGAGGCTGAAGAACGCGCGTTGTTGGAGGGTGGCGGTGGTGGTATAAGTGCCATGTCCGCGTCTTCATCGCCGCCGGTTTCCGAGGATGACAGCGATGTTGATAGCCTGCATAGTTTTCACTACTCACCGAAGGCGGTTGACATGCCGTCAGCGATACGTCTTGCAAATCGTCTGTACAACTTGGACGGGTTTAAAAAGTCAGATGTTTCAAGGCATTTAAGCAAAAAGTATGTGTTAATAATTATTTTTATGCAAAATTTAAGTTTTGGTTGATTTTAGCAATGAATTTAGCCGTGCGGTAGCTGATGAATACCTGAGGAACTTTAACTTTGACCAGGATACGTTAGACATTGCACTGCGCAAGTTCCTTAAACAATTCTCGCTTACCGGTGAGACGCAGGAGCGCGAACGCGTGCTTGTGCATTTTTCAAAGAGATTCTTAGACTGCAATCCTGGTTCCTTTAATTCACAAGGTTTGTACCACAAATATGACCGCCATTTTTATTTTATTTACTTTTTTTGCGTTTCCAGATGCTGTGCACACGTTAACGTGCGCAATAATGTTGCTCAACACTGATTTACACACGCAGAACATCAATCGCAAGATGACGTGCCACGAGTTCATCGAGAATCTCGCCGGCCTCAATGAAAACGAAAACTTTCCGCGGGAAGTACTCAAGCAGCTCTACCACGCCATCAAGAACAATCCACTCGAATGGGCAGTGTAAGAATATTGTGGTTTTTAATTGTATTTATATGTTTTTAATTATTTTTGTGTGGGTTTTAGTGATGATGAAGTAGATCACGATGGGCAAAACATGCAGAAGCCGATAATGGAGCAGCATCTCGGCGGGAATCCATTCCTGGACGTGCCAAGCCTTGCCAACGCTACGGAATACAAGAAGGGCTACGTGATGCGCAAATGCTGCTACGAGTCGAACGCCAAACGAAGTGAGTCTCGCCGCGCGTAGAATCAGATTGACTGATAGAAATTCGTAGGGTTTACCGCATTTTCTCTCGCACGTTCAACGTACTACCAACGTGTGTTATGATTATCCTTATAATTTTTGAGTTTGATTTCTCGAGAGTTGGTTTTTCTTACGTTTTTTCTTTATTTTCTCGATGATGCGACAGAAGTGTTTGGTAAGCAAGCAATTTACAAGTTTCAAATTTGTCACAAGAAACAAAACAAAACCAACACAAACCAACAACATGAAAAAACATTGAAACGAAACAAGAAACGTGTACATATCAATTATTTTGCACCTTACCATTTGTCTTCTGGAACATATTTTTGATTCTACAAATTCGATTTGCAAACAAAAGTATTTTATTACCACACATTCACCTTGTTATTATTATTAATATTAGTAAAACTCTAGGAGTAGTTTCTGCTTGCTTTGCTTGCTATACAATTGAATACACCACCTAGACACTCTCTCACATCTGTACAAACCAAACACTTTTCATTCATTCGTTATCTCTCAGTTGTTGATTTCATCATGACTTGTATACTAGAATTTTAGAACATTTGTCTAGCGGTGATTTGCATTAGGAGTGTTTGGAGTATTCTTAGCAAGTTGCGATTACCGCCATCGCACAGCATGTTGGCAAACAAAAATAGCTGTTTCGAAGGCCTTTGCTGCATTTTTCTAGCGCCGTTTCACAAGCGCAGCTGGAAGATGTTCTACTGCACACTGCGTGATATGGTCCTCTATCTGCACAAGGACGAGAACGGCTTCCGCAAGAATCAGATGGGTGACAATCTGCATAATGCGATTCGCATCTACCATGCCCTGGCGACCAAAGCTACAGACTACACGAAGAAGCAGTATGTGTTTAGGCTGCAGACGGCTGATCAGGCGGAATATTTATTCCAAACTAGGTAATTTTATTTTGTTTTATGTTTTTTTGTGTTTTTTTATACTAAAATGATTGTTTTTTAGTGATTCGAAAGAACTGCAGTCCTGGATTGATACCATCAACTTTGTATGCGCTAGTTTTTCCGCACCGCCTCTGGAGGCGGCTGTTGGGTCGCAGAAGAAGTTTCAACGGCCTCTGTTACCTTGCAGTCACACCAAATTAAATTTCGTAAGAAAAAACACATTTTTATCATCTACGGAATTAAAAATTAAGTTTTTTTATGATATTTAGCGAGAACAATTGAGAGATCACGAGGAGAGAGTTATGAGACTGGAGAGCGAGCTCGAAGAGCATCGCAGATCGCCACCAGAGCGCAATGCCAAGTCACTAGTCGTGCAGAACTACAAGGAACGCGAAGTTTACCTAAATTTCGAGGTATTTACTTCATTTTTCAATAAAATTTTACATTTTTCATCATTATATTCCGTAGGTTAAAAGATATAGAGCCTATGCTTATATCCTGCGATCCAAGATGTCCGCCTATCCGGAACTAGGCGTGAGTCTGGTGGAGAGTTGCATCGGCGAGCTGGATGAAGCCACCGGTTGTCATCCGGGTGATGCGCCCGCCACAGCGATGCCTCCGGTGCAGGCGGAGCCGGCAGCGGCGCGCAATTCGCGCTCGCCGCAAACAAATAGGTACAGTTACAGGCAGGCGATCTACAGCCGGCATATGCTCAACGGGGATGCAGACATTGGCTGACGGGTCTTGGGGGTGTTCTCAGCATGTGTGCTTTGACAGAATTGGGCCAGAAGTATTTTGTTTCTCTCATCCCCTTCACTTCAACTTAGTCATCTCCTATATTTATTTAGTTGTTTTTATTCATCTACTAGTCATCTACAACTTGGATTATGTTTTGGTTGTGTTTTTAATTGTTTTAGTATTCTCTGGTGGTAGCTTAGTAGGAGGTAGGTTATGATGGTGGTGGGGGTGGTAGCCATTTTGTGTATGTGTACATATTGAGTTGAGAGTTGAGGACACCTCTTTGTAGCGTTGGTTTACCTTCTGTAAGACGATAAGAAGAAGGCGAAATCTTGTAATATTTAAGCAGTACATGCGAATATTTGAATGATTGATTATTTGATTGAGAGATGCGTTTTTTAAGCTTTGTAAACATTTAACAACATCAATGAGCGATTGTGTTTTAGGTAGGGGGCTGTGAAAAAGTTGTTCATTTGCGAGTGAAATGTGAAAATTCGTAAAACTTAACGAAGGTTTAAAAAAAAACAAACTACCAACAACTTTAGGTATTATATACATATAATAATAACTTAAATAACTTAAACAATGATAAATTGACTACATATAGTAATATATAAATTACGATACGACTTACTAATACATAGATAGAAGGAAAAAAATGAATTCAAGTGAAGATGCGATGATGAAAAGCTAAACATGTGCCTGAAATATGATGTTCTTGCGTGAATGAGACGAAATAGTTGTTGGGAAACTTTTGCTCAGTTCCGTTTCGAGATTGAATGATAACATAACCATAATTATGTGCTATTCAAGTGGAGAAAGATTTAAAAACTAACACGTTTAACTACATTATTGTCGGAGATGTGTGACGACTACAACAACGGCCGTAAACAGACGCAATTTGATGAAATATATTGATGAACAAGCAAATGTACATTGTCGTGTTTTGTTGTAGGTTAATTGTGCACATAAAATACGTACCGAAGTACGAGTCCCCTATACCTAGAAGGTGCGTTATGTTATGATTTTGTTTAGTTTTTTTTTTTATCGATGTTACCGAGTTGATTTGACGCTTGCACCCAACCGAAATCAACATCTCTCACCTCACACACAATCAATTAATTACAAATGTTACATTCATCAAATAATTACTAATTGAATATTTGCTAATACTTTCAGATATCGGTACAGATATAACGGCTCTTCTCGGTGGTGTTTTTCATTGATTGATTAATCCAACTGTAACAAACTTTTGTTTTGGTTTTTTATTTCGTATTTTGTGTTTGCATGCCTGTTTCTTCAACGTTTTGCTTTGAAAACTTTGAATATTTACAATACTTTGAAGCTTTTTGTACTAAATTGGTGTTGCTTTTAGACCTTGCGCAATTTATTCCCCAATTTAATAATGTGATTATGATTAATCTATTGTGAATCTATCTGTTTGTAATCTAGGAAGTTGGACTGATGCCAATGCAGCTAATCGCGCACGGATTGTGCAATAAATGCAATTGAAGATGATGAGCCAGTGGACGCAAATGCAAACGAAGAGCGCGAGTGAATTATGATGGTAATAATTTTAACAAGAGACCAAAGATCAATTATTTATTAGATGTACCATGTACCGGTGTTGTTGGCGGGGATATTTTCACTGATAAACTGATACACTGCTAATTTGTTTAGCAAAACATTCAAATGTAAAGCGTTTTGAAGATGAAAACAGAACGAATTCAATGATTATGCATTTTACATAGGTAGGGTATATAAATAATAAAAGATTGAGGAGTGAATGAGATAAATGATGAAGAAGATTTGGCGAATGGCATGATTTCAAGTGAATGAACAATACAGTTATTGATTTATATTTTTACTTATGAAATATGAAAGTTGTTCAGTGCTAAAAAAACTATTTACGGACATATTTAAGGCGCAAACACAGCTTATTTATTGCCATTTATTATTTTCTATGTACATTAAACGCTTCTTATGTAATTATGTATTACATCCTTTCAATTAAAACAAAAACGCAAATTTAAGTCAAAAATATTCAAAATTGCAGGTATATTATCAAAGTGCGCGTGCGCATATTAATTGCCCACATTTTGCTGTATATTGGGTTGCATATCGTACAAGTATCATTCTCTAGATTATATCAATTGTAGTCGTAAGTTGTGACGAAGAAAATCAAAGAAAAATGCAAAATAAACCTGTGATAATAGGAAAATGCACGCAGATGTGCCCCGAGAGTGAAATAACAATGTATGTATCACATGATTCGCTCTATATTATGTATAATTGTGTAATGTTTATGTTTATAACCTCTTAGGAGAGAATCCCAAAGACTGTTACATCCAATGGAACTCCTTACACATTCAAAGACAAAAGCAGACAGGACAAAGATGGTAAAAGAGTTCTGTAGATCATCTGCTGGTCAACACATGCAAAAACCAGAAGTGTTGAGGCCTTTTGACACATTAAATGACACAATTGCATATCTGTTATTTGAGTAAGTAAAGAATTTTCATCAGATTCTAATAATATTTATGTTTTAATGCTGTTCAGGGCCATAAACATGGATGAATTTGCATTCCACATCAGATATGATTACATTTGTGATAGATTAAGAGCTGTTAGACAAGATATGATCATTCAAGATCTTCCCAAACATGAAGCAATTTGTATATTGCAACCTATAGTTAGATTTTATGCTTATGCATCATACAGGTAAATAAATCCTTTATATTTTTACTGTAAAACAACATAATTATCTATATTTTGTTTATTTATAGAATGTGTGATGAACCTCTACAGAAATATGATGCACATTTGAATAATAAACACTTTCAAGAGTGTTTAAAACGTCTTTTATCATTATACGACGATTGCGAAGAGTTTGAAACGCGTTTTCCACATCGAATTGATTGCTCTACTCTGTACGCTGATTCCCGGCCACAAATTGAAGCCATATATGTTTTATTCAATCTTGGCAGTGGCGAAGCACTGAATCGTGCGTTGAGGTTAAACGAACGATGGAAGAACACCGCGGAGCTGCAAGCCGCAATCAAAGTAAGTCTATTGTACAGAAATAATAATTTCGTCGCGGTTTGTCGCCTCGTCCAAGACCTGCCGCATTTAATGGCGGCCATTGTAATGTTACGCATGCCCGCTATACGAAAAACATGTCTGCAAGTCATGTCCTGGGGTTATTCAAGCAAAAATCTACGATTTCCACTTGAAAAACTACAGGAATTATTGTTATATGACAACGAGGATGATTTGTTAGAAGATGTGAAGTGTTGTGGGTTAGAATATCATCTACCTGATGATATTTTCGATGTAAAAGGTGGAGTAGTTTTTGGTAAAGATAAATTTAACGTGGACGTTAACTTAGGGGTACGTAAAGTGAATTTTGTTAATGAGAAGTTAAAAAAGTATAAAGTACATGAATTAGTTTTGTTTGGCAATTAAAAACATGAAAATATTTGTGATTAAAAGTAGTTTTCTAGTAATTTTTTGTAGAAAATGTCTTGTATTGTTGCTTATTTATTTATTTTCTTGTCATTTTGGGCTTTACGTAATTAATCTTATTTAATTAATAATACTACACCGCCCACCTCATATTAACAAATTTAATTCTTTCGAGAACGGCGTTTCATTGTAACACATTGCGGACAATACCATTTTCCTTTCGGTGGCGCAGTGATACCAACACAAGGATAATGAAACCATTCGGAAGGACATTCCTCATTGTCACAAGCAACCATGTCTCCATAAGAGACTTGATTGCACAAACAATATCTCGGTTCATTCGGATCATACGTCCATTCCCCATCGGTTACTTCCTGTGTTTGTACATCTACAGCTGGTGATCCTGGTGTTGAGCTCCCAGCTGGTGCAGTTATAACCTGCTGGATGCTTGTCGACACCTTTTTCTGTTTCTTTTTGTTTGTGTCTTGTACAATTGATTGTTGGAACGCGGTGTGTGCAGCCCCGGCGAGATCTTTCCCAATCGCCAGCTCATGCATGTTCAAACCAGTCAGGGCAGCCTCATAGGATGCTTTCAAGCTTGCCGTGCGTCTTCCCTGCTGCATTTGTTGCGTTGCGGCGATTGCTTGCGATGCAGCCGTGGCAATTGCTTGTCCAGCACCGATTTGGCCAAGATTAAATTGCGGTGATGGTGAATTACTTGTTGGTGTGACAACGCTGGATGAATTCGATAGGGAATTATGTCCGCGGGGTTCTGCCTGAGTGATATTAACAGCTTGGCGTTTCTCCGGGAAACTATTCACGTTCGTGCTGCTATCGCGACGTTTCTCGGTGCGTGGACGATTGTATCTCTCGTATCGGTTTTCTTTTTGTGAACTCAGCGCGCCACTTGATAGTGGTGTGTCTAATTCTAAACTGCGTTTTTCCAGGACTTCGGTTATGCCTTTATTGTCCGCCTCAAGCTCACATTTGAACTTGTGTAGTTCAGTGTCTAGCCTCCTGAGGTATTTATCTACCAAGTCATACATTGTATTTGCTAGATGTACTTTCTCATCGGCATCCTCTAGGGTTTTGTGGTACTCCTGGCGGATGTTCTGGAATTCAGCGTCCAGATTCGGGGTTATCTCCGGTACGCGTTTGCAGTCGTTGAAGAGATTCTTCACGCGCTTCTCGAGCGTGTCGACATTATCTAAAATATTCGCGTAAACATAACCTCTGAATGCATAGTGTATTTTTGTTGGGAATAATTACTTTGTACAGACAAATCGAGCTCGCGCATTTGCGTAAAGCGATCCCGTAACTCCTGGGGGAGGTGTTCAATCACTGGAAATTAAGGTTATTGTATTATTAATGATAATTTTAGTTATTAAAATTGGGTTTGGAAATGTGCTTACTTTCTAAATAGTCCTCAAGGTACAGCATGTTGTTTGGATTGGTTTTTACGGCGAAACGATTGTGGTTTGCGTAGCGACGCTGTGGTATAAGATGTGGATTTTCCTTATTTTGTGTCAGACAAACACAAGGGGTGGAATTTGTACGAAAAATTAATCAATGTTTGGTTTGTTTTGTGTCTTTCTCTAGGTAGATATTTCTCAACCAGATGGCGCTGGTATATGTAAAGCTTTCGGTTTTGTTCGGTTGACAATGACAGCTGTCACTTTCGTTCCTTTATACTCCTTCTACCGCAACCTTTAGCTCAGTAACCGTTTCGCTGTCGTGAGGGGTGCATGTGTTTGTTTCTCTTTACCGTCATCATTCAACATCGTCATTCGTATTTAATTCTGTTACAGTTTTTAATTATACTTACTAGTGCTACAAAATATCGACAAATTAATTTATGATAATAAAGTTTTCAATATGGGAAGATTGCAAAAAACAATTCGCGGATGTTGTGCACTTGAATAAGTAAGAACATGTGAATAATTTACTTCTATTTAATACGTTTACATTTTAATGATGCAATATAACTTTATTGTAAATATATATGATTCAATCAATAAAGGATAATTTAATCTTTAATATTACTGCACGCCAAAATAACCTTTAGTTTATAGAACGTTGGTATACTTGCTTTCTCACATAATTTATTTGAATGTGTATTTAATTTAATCTAGTATCGAATTTAATTAATATCGAATCTATTCAGAAAACTGTAATTTGCTATTTAAATTCTATTAGTTAGACACTTCACAACCAGATGGCGCTAGTGCTGCTTTTGCAGCAGTTTTCTTCGGTTGCCACTACTACTTTCGCTCCTTTCGTTCACTCACCACCTCAGTACGTTCCGCGCTGTGATAAAGGCTGCACGCGTTTTTTTTCTTCTCCGCCATGCCGCTACTCTCGTCGTATTTCGTTTTGCTTTACCGTTTAATTCGGTTATCAGTTACAGTCTCGGGATACAAATCACCGTAATCAAGAATGGCTATGGCTATTTTCCTGCTTAGTCGGTCGTTCGGTGTTGTGTAGTGCACGATTGCTTGCCATCCGTCGAGCATCGTGGCGATTTCTCGCGTTTCTTGGGTTTAGTGCGCTTAAAAATTCGGTTTTAAAATTGATATGCTATCGATCGACTGCCGACGCACGTGCATGACGGCGGCCGCCGGATCTCGTTCGGTGGCTACGAATTCCATTTGGGATTTACTGATCAAAATTGATCGAATGTTAATTTGTGAAAATTAACCACGCGTGTGTCTCCGTCCGAACAAAATAAGGAAACTTGTGAAAGCGTACTTTATGGATAGAAGAACAAAGGTGTATGGTAACATCAAGTATTAATTTGTTTCATTTTTTTACTTTTACAGATACAAAATCATATTTGTATACAGCTATTGAAAATAGTTTCACCACACGTTAAAGAAAAACTATTACAAAGTGCTTTCTTGATTGTATGAGCTCCAATAAAAGTCAATTTAATAATATACTTGAAAACATATTTTTTTGTGGTATCCTCTTTGTCGTTTTCAGTTTTAAATAATATGGCATATATGTCTTATGTGTGAGCAGCGGGTATGAGATAACCAACTGTTACTTGAATTGTGTTGTTGTTTTTAAAAACATGATAAAAGTAAAATCATAAATAGAAGAATCAAATATTAATAACAAAAACACTCGGTGGTCGAGTGGAGACGTGCACCTGCTGGCATGCTAGCAGACACGGATCGAATCTCGGGTATGGAAGGCATTTTTCTCAAATATAAAAATATAAGGTGAAATTTGGGTTGCATATATGAATTGCAACGAAATATATGCGAAATTGAAATGCAAGTGGCAATAAGAGATGTATGAAAGTAAATGGAGAACGAGAGAACTGGGAAATAGAAGAATGAGAATAGGAGAAGATAGAAGGAAGAGAACAACAGAGCTAGTAGAGCAGAGAAGAGGAGGAGATAGAAGAAAGAGCACAGGAGAGGATCAGATTTTTAAATTTTTTGGCACGTGTCGTTATAAGACAGTATACGGTCGATCTCCCAGAGCGCCTCCGGCGCTCTGGTCGATCGCCCACTGCTTCGATGCCTCCATTGCTCCCGGCCCAACCTACAGCTACGATGTCTCTGCGCTTCATCCCCGAAATTATCAGGCATATCAACAATATTTATGGTGGGGGATCACCCCCAGAGAGAGGGAACTCCTTATAAGGACAATCCTTATAAGGTCTTGTAAAAATATTTCTAAGTTTTAAGTCGCCTCAAGAGAGGTGACACTTAAAAATATTCTTACCAGTTCTGACCTGTAGCTGAAATGAAAGAAGGAGCACACAAATCACACAGGATACCTTAACAATTTTTATAGTGGGGATCATCCCCTGAGAGAGGGAACTCTCTTAGAGACCTGTTCCTGAAATGATAGAAGAGGTACACAAATCAAAGAAGTCAATATATTTTACTATTTCTTTATTAACAATAGAATACTACAAGTTTATATTTTACAAGTCAACAGAATACATGTCGCCATATTGAAACAGGTCTTACGACCTGCCTAGCCGTGCACAAGCAAGCAAGTTACACTTCGCAAAGTACTACCGGGATAAAGAAATTAAGAAATAAACCATTTTCTGCGTGAGTGAAAATGGGAACAAATATACAGGGTGTTACAAATAGAAAATTCAAAGTGCAAAGAAGAAAAACCTAAAACAACAACTAAAGCTAAATTTTCACGGACAACAAGAAAAACAAATATACAGGGTGCTACAAAAAGGAAATTACAACATCACAAAAAGAAAATCAATAGTACAAAAAAGAAAATAGGAAATCAAGAAAAACAAACATACAGGGTGATACAAACAGGAAATTCCTAAATTTAAAAATAAAATACAAAGTTTAAGTAGAAAACGACCCAGAAACGACAAATTTAGTCAGTTTTACACTAGAACGCAAGGTAAAGTAGAACATAGGGTGTTACAAGAAGAAAATTGCTACATTTTACAAATATATTACTCTCAATAATTAATTGCCAAACTACGAAAATACGTTAAAGAGCCGGCAGATTTATGAAATAAAAATAAAAATGCAAGCAAGGAAAATTTCACGTTAGTAAACCGATGATTGACATGACCATACTCTGCGGGTAGATCCAAGTCGCATCCGACGGCACGCATCAATTTTGTGTTGTTACGGTATTCACGTTACATGCAATTTTAGATAAATATGAAAGTATAATGAAATAACGTTTACAAACTTACCAGTGCATCAGGTAATCATAGAAAGTACTGAAACAAAAAAACAACACGTGTGTGAGAACTCGCACTATGATGCACACTTATTTAAATTTGTTTTGAGGGATAATGAACCTGTACTATTTTAACACACAATTTTCCCGGAATATCCTGCCATGGACATTCGTTAATTACACTTACTTAAAATTCCGAATAGGATACATATTTCTAAAACCAATTCTCAACATCGAAATAATCCAATAGCCGACACGCACATGGAAACACCAGTTTTATAATCATTTTACGAGTAAATCATCCTTAGCAAAACAATCTACATGTCTGTTGTCATTAGGTGCCGTTAGAAATGCTCATTTTTAATCAATAATAAAATGTAATGTAATCGGAATGAATGAAAGAATGATGCCGAGCCGCGTGCAGGTAAGAACAGACTGAAGCGGTCGAACGTTCGTAGCATGAGAGGCAGCATTGCGCACGTTTATAGCGATATAAAAACTTGTTTATACACAAACCCCGATATGTGTGTAGAATTGAAATAGCACATTTCTGAAGTGCATTAAAATAAAATAAAATATAATAATTCATTACATCGAGTACTACGAGTACTATTGCGTAGGGGAGAGTAGCCATATTTGGACCATTTTTATATTTTTTGATTTATAGAGCCACATATAAACTGTCAATAAAAATTAAGTAGCGGAAAAGTAACTCACAAGGCTTACCAACAAAATGATATTTTTGGTTTAAGTAAAAATTATATTTATACCCCTCAAATTTCAATTTAAAAAAATTGTGTTTTTGGTCCAAATTAAGAAACCGGTTTCCTAAATTGGACCGCGCGGTTTCCTAAATTGGACCATGGTTTTTTAACGGCAATTGACACAATAGTAAATTTTAGATTTAGCACTAACACAAGCACATTTTGTATAAACCAAAGTGCGGCATTTCATACAGTGGATCATTTCGAAGATTTGTGCTCGTCCACAAGCTTTTCTAGGAGGTCGAAAAAATGATATACGTTTTCCCTGTTAAAACCCCGGTGCCTGTCTTCGGTCCAACTTGGGCAACTTGAAGAATTTATATTTAATGATCAACGACAATCTTAATATAACATAACCTCTCAAAATTAATACTATAAATTATAGATAAATAAAGAAGCTTTCTGATGATAATATAATAATCAGTAAAACTAACGCTTAAACGGCTTGACAGCTCTTGCACTTACGTCGTTATAATAGATTTGATAATCAATGATACACGAAGTTGTTGCCACGAAGAAAGCACGCGGCAAGTTTTAACCCAAATAGTTGCATTAATTGTTTATAAATACGAGTAAAACGAGGGGCCAGTCTATTTTTGCACAAACTTCAACAGTCCGCGGATATCGTGGTGGTCCAACTTAGGCGCTGGTCCAAATTAGGCTACCTTCCCCTATATGCGTATTCACACAACTATCATTATAACTCGCGTTACGGAATTTTCTCGCAATAAATTTCAATACAGGGAAATAAAGAATTAAATTCCGCATCTGGAAAAATCAATCCGAACTTAGTTTAAGACCGCGTTCGCGTGTTATAATATTAAGAAAGTACAATTCCTAGCGCAACGAGTACTATTGCGTATATGCGTTTACACACAAATATCATTATAACTCGCGTTACGGAATTTTCCCGCAATAAATTTCGATACAAGGAAATAAAGAATTAAATTCCGCATCTGGGAAAATCAATCCGAACTTAGTTTAAGACCGCGTTCGCGTGTTATAATATTAAGAAAGTACAATTCCTAGCGCAACGAGTACTATTGCGTATATGCGTATACACACAAATATCATTATAACTCGCGTTACGGAATTTTCCCGCAATAAATTTCGATACAAGGAAATAAAGAATTAAATTCCGCATCTGGGAAAATCAATCCGAACTTAGTTTAAGACCGCGTTCGCGTGTTATAATATTAAGAAAGTACAATTCCTAGCGCAACGAGTACTATTGCGTATATGCGTTTACACACAAATATCATTATAACTCGCGTTACGGAATTTTCCCGCAATAAATTTTGATACAAGGAAATAAAGAATTAAATTCCGCATCTGGGAAAATTAATCCGAACTTAGTTTAAGACCGCGTTCGCGTGTTATAATATTAAGAAAGTACAATTCCTAGCGCAACGAGTACTATTGCGTATATGCGTATACACACAAATATCATTATAACTCGCGTTACGGAATTTTGCCGCAATAAATTTCGATACAAGGAAATAAAGAATTAAATTCCGCATCTGGGAAAATCAATCCGAACTTAGTTTAAGACCGCGTTCGCATGCTATACTAAAAAAACTACAATTCCTAACGCAACGAGTACTACGGCGGATACATACAACTTTCAATATAACTGAATGAATTATAAACTTACCAATGCAGCGCTCATCGGATTGCACCGGTACGGCAATTAAAGTACTGAAATTAAAAGAAAACATAAGTTAAAACAAAAACATTTCATACAATATGATAATATTATATTCACACATGGGAGAAAACAAACTTTCTGTGCTGAGTATCGCAATGGTCAGATAAAAGTAACTTACTCAAGCACGAATAGATTTCCGATTGATCTAGCAACCGACCACGTCCCACAATAACCGACAATAAAACCGCAGCATTGTAATTTGAAATATAAACATCAAAAGCAAGCAAAAAAAACATTTATGCACATTAAACGAACAATTACTTATTAAGAAAAAACTGCAGATGCATATTACGACTAAGTCGATTGATGACCCGGCAGGTAAAAGTAATAGATGCGCAATGCCGGCGGCGCGTCGATGGTACGCGACCTCGTGCACGAATTGCAATAGACACGGTACCTGTGATAAGAACTAATCTAAAATGTGCTGCATGCGACAGCGCGACGAGAATCTTACGCGTAGCATCTCGCACGGCGAATGCGATAAGAAAGTGGTTAATACACAAACGCTGATATGATTCGAAACGAATACAATTCAATTTTATGATTTTTAGTTTATGCTAGTGCCATCTCTGAATAGAATTCACGATGCAACAATTCACAATAAGACTCTGCACCTGCTGCATGAACCCCGCAGGTAAAAGCAATAGATGCGCAAAGTCGCCTGCGCGTCGATGGCACGCGACCTTGTACGCGATTGCAATAGACGCGGTACCTGCAATAAGAATTAAATAAAATTGTGCGAGAGCGCGACGTTAGACGAAAATATTACCCATAGCATATCGCACAGCAAATGCGATAAAAACACGTTACACACAAACGTTGATAATAGAACTGTCTTCAAAACTAATACAATTCTATGTTATGATTTTGACGTGATAACGTCTTTAAAATCGTTTTAGTTGGGTTACTGTTCAGAAACTTGTGTCGCGAGCCCTCACGAGGCCGATCGCAGGTATACCCCCCTCTCGTTATTCCGTGAAATCCAGCGCGCCGACTGCGATCATCCGTTCCGACGGCTGTCGTCAGGAAACAAAAGAGTGCGGGGATAGACGCGATCCTAGAGTGCGTCTGTTATAGATAAATTAACAATTGAACATAGAATGTATTTGTATAGGCAGTTACTGACATGCTTGTATGTTGAACGCATGTTCACTCCGTAACAACACGCTCAACATGATGGATCCCAGTGCACACATTCCTTCAACATCCAATACGCTGATGGAGACCGAGAATTACGTGATTTTACGTAATTTAAAATTTGAAAAAATTGTCATCTTCATTAATTCCTTACTTCACAAAAACTTATATCACCAATAAGACGTTATCACGTAAACATCTCGATCGTAAACCTACTTTACAAACAACCATTTTTTAGTTTGTGCTAGTGAACTAAAATTATATCATGAAATTATGATTTATGATTTGTAATAAACACACAAAATATTGAATTCCGAAGATAACATACGCGATAAATATTTACCGAATGACCAAACACGGCAATTACCACTAAATTCAATAAAATATAACGCGATATACCGAATTTAGAACGCGAAACACAAATACTCGACGGTGTATTCATATCTGCCGCACGAAGTAAGAGCTGCGTGTCGACATTACAACTGTGCAAGTCGACTTTCAATCCCAGGAATATTTTTAGTTAAAACGTGCATCGTTCCGCTACCTGAGAATACTTTATTGTACCTCCAGAAAATACTTTGATACTTGATACTTTTTTTTCGACGATTTTTAATAATTAATATTTATAATAATAATTAATAATAATATATAATAATAAATATATTAAAAGCGATAGCTATCAACAAATTGTTGATTATGAAAGATTGGAAAATTCTCTACCAGATAAAAATATAAAATAATTATATTTCCTACAGTAAAAGGTCGAAAAACGCGACTAAAAGTGCTAAAAAGTGACATTTATCAATATTTGCCCATTTTATTCAATTGCGAATATCTCGTAAACTAAAAGAGATAAATAAGATCTGGGGGTGCTTGATACTTTTTTTCGACGATTTTCAAAAATTCATATTTCTTAAACTAAAAGAGATAGCTACTAACGAATTGTTGATTATGAAAGATTGGATCTGTGGGGATCATTACCCAACGCTTATTCTAATTCTATTCTATCTATCTATTCTAATTTTCTTCATCTATATTGCATGCACTCTATAACTTTCTTCATCTATATTGCATGCCATAATTCTTCGTATAAAATTCCCAAAATTCCTAATTACTTTTATTACCCTTGAAAAACCTAATCCCCGAGTCGGACGGTTTGGCACGCTGTATCTAGCGTGCGGTCAGTAGCAGATGGTCCGGCTCGGATTCCCAAAATCCGATGGTCAACTTTCCCTCTCTTCAATGTCACAGACTTTCTTCTACCAATCAAATCTATCGCTTTCTTCCTACTTCCAAATTTCTTGTCACCACCCATCAACCTGAAGGGTTGCTGGTGAGTGACAAGGGTTTAGGAAGGTCAGTTATTCTACACATTTCGCAAGCGACACTTCTACAGTTATTCCACACACTTCAAACTCTACGGTTCTACTAACTTCACTTCTCTTCATACTTCTTAATAAACATTGTTCGTGATAATTAAACATCGTGTCTTTTACTCACTCATCAATTATAACATTTGCACTCACTCACCGATCCCACAGATCATTCTCAATCAGATAAAAATATAAAATAATTATATTTCCTACAGTAAAAGGTCGAAAAATGCGACTAAAAGTGCTAAAAAGTGACATTTTGCAATTTTTGCCCATTTTATTCAATCGCGAATATCTCGTAAACTTAAAGAGATAAATAGGTACAACTCCCAGAGACTATTCTACGGACTATTATTTATAAGATGGGCTAGTTAAAACGGAAATCTGAGAGATGAAATTTTAATTCATATGAAAAAATGGACAAATGGGGGTCAGCTGTACAATCATCTATGTATGGTGCCCTGAACACGAGTCACATCTACAGCGGCCCCCATGCGGTGCCCTGAACACGAGTCACTTCTAAATTATTCTCAACTTATTATGACACCGCGTTCGCGTGTTATAATATTAAGAAAGTACAATTCCTAGTGCAACGAGTACTACGGCGCACGCACACAAATTACAATATAACTCGCGTTCCCATGTAATAGCGTGTAATAGGTGACATAAAAGAATATTGATATTCTTACCACAATTTCGCCTCATTGGTTCGCAAGACATCTTGTCTCTATTCCTGGAACATAGAAGAGAATTTAAATTAGAACATTTAATACAAATGCTAAGAATGTTATCAAATCGCACATTCCGACAAAATGTTTGTTGTCGAAATATGTGCTGAAAATATTGAAAAAGTACCTGTATTTTCCGCACCCCGGCGGGAATGAGCGTGAATTAAACAAATATCTATACACCCCGGTTACAACTAAATATAGTTGCTTGCTTATACAAGTGAACACAACACGACAATCAGCTGCCAGAAACACGTCCGAACTAACCAGCAACCAGCACGAAACTAAACAATTCATTTAAAGAACAAACACAACAAGCATACATCGAAATTCCACGATATTTGATATAAGATAAGAGTTCGTACGCCAGCGCGTCGATAGCACGGAACAGAATAATAACGGCAATACACGGCAATTTTGCGCGTTGCATTCCGCTCGACGAATGCAAGACAAAAAAAGTTGTTTACATTCAAACTGAGATAAGCGCATCGTGTACGAAACGAATACGTACAATGCAGGTATAAAATAACTTCGTTGGCAGAAATACAAAATAACTACAAGTCAATATTATATTCATTCTCAACATTATATCGCATAAATTAAACAAAGCATTATTAATTTGCCCATTTAATTGCTATTATTTTTGTACTATTATCATTTTCTGCAGTAATACACTCACTAAACAATTCAACTTTGAAATTAATTTAGAAAACAAATACTATGATTTAATTGATTCACTTACTTGGGTATCGGACAGCTTCTGTTGGCAAAAAGTGGGTTGCAGATGTCCAGAATGTAACGCAAATTTATTTTAATCACTTATTGAAAATCGCAGGATATCAAGAGTCAGCGTCCGACGGCAACTCACTCAAGGAAACACGCGTGCAGTTAAACAGAAAACACAATAAATTCATGATCCATCCGTGATAAATCATTAACAAAACACCGAACACATCTAGTAATAGAAAATATTGACGATGGTTAATCAAATAGATCGCGATTTACCGAATTTAATAAACAACGCGGCACGCCGGCTGAAACACGAGGTGTGTGCACGTTAATCTGCATCGTGCGACTATTTTTACTTAGTAAAGTGTATCGCTGCGCCCTCTAAGGTGACTTAAACATACCTCTCAATAATATAGTGTGATTCGTAGAGTGTGGCGCACACACACGCGCATGAGAATGTTTGACTAAGTCAGTGAGTGTTCAGGCTTGTTATGGAGGGGCACCCCGTGTCGGTGTGTCACACGAACACAAAAGTGCGTGTGCATCACCCTATCGAAACAAATAACATTTCTGCATAAAAATGCAACAATCCAAACCTAGGTGGCAATAAAATAATAAATTTAAACCATTGTAGAACATTTTAACACCGTAATTCTTAAAATAAAGGATTCGTATTTAAAATTAGACAAGGAAATACAAGAAAATAATCTCATAAATAAAACAGTCGCTTTTATTAAAATCAGTCTTAAATATTAGCTGCAATAGAAAGAAATACGGACATTACTCATACTTACGACGCAAAATTGCACTTGCATTCCAATAAACAACCATAGGCGGCCATCAGATCTGCGAAACATCAATAATGTGTATAGAATGAGCACACAAACGCAGCAAAACCAAAAACAATTAATGCAACACGCCGATAGACGTCGAATAAATCAATTTAGTTCAAGAGATAAAAAATATATAACAAAAGATGAGCGCATCAATACCGTAGGCATAGGACAATCATGATCGCCATGACCACAGCATCAATACAACAACACAACATCAAAGAATATACATGGTTGTGTGTATAGTAAATTGATTGAAGGTAGAAAAGCAATAAAACAATGAAATCAAAATCAAATACTACCAACTACCTATAACCCAGGTTATTCGAGCCTAGCGCTAACATCTCGTCACATGCCCAGCAGATAAATAAACCACCGAGTGCCTTTGTTTATCTGTGAGCACGTCTCGCAACCTGAGCTCAACAATCAAAATAGCTTTGTGGTATTACAACAGAATGGACTTATGCTATACATACCTAAAATTCAAGCGCAAACAGAATAACTGCATCCTTCACTAACAATTAGCTCTCTCTTGTTCTTGTTACACCCTCACTCTCTGTCTGTCTCTCTCACTACTAATAGGATAAGACACAACTAACTCCTGTGATTATATTAAGATAAATGGTTTAATCGTCATCATATCATAAAAATTGACACATACACAATATTATTCATTAGGAAATTGCCTATAACTAACATAAACTAAACGTTGTTTTTAGAAAGATAGATGATAGAACGTAAATAGTAAATTAAAAAATGTGATTTCTTCTCTTTCTCTGCCCGGTTGCCTGCTTGCTTCACGTCCTCTGCTGTTAAACTTAGCGTGATCTGAACCCGTCTTGCAGATTCTTGTCAAAACCTGGATTTTTCCTTGCCTCGATCAATATAATAAATATAATTTTCACAGTCAAATATTTAGCTATCCTATCCTAAGCCTTTGCTCGGGGCCAAAGATAAGCTTAAGTTATTATTATTTTTTTCATATATGAGTGTTAAATTTCTTATTTTTCTCGTTTCAGTTCTGTGTGCGCGGTGAACTTACGTCGGTTAAATTATTTAGAAGCGACGACCGCCGCCACCGCCCATATTGCCTCCGTTTTGATTGTAGCCGCCACCGCCATAGCCTCCGCCACCACCACCGCCTTGATTATTGCCTGTCGTGGGGGAAAAAAGACACAAAAATAATTAAATAATGTTTAGGATAAACGCTAGATGTGTTCTTTCTAGACCTTTTCTAAAATTACCATATGGTGCTGGCCGATTCGACTGGAAGTTGTTACGCATTGCGCCGCCGCTTGAATTGTAGTTCTGCTGATAACCACCGCCGAATCCTTCGTTCGGTGGGCCCCAGTTGCTGTTACCATTGCCGTAGCTGTTGGGTCCACCACCTCCGCCTCCGCCGCCACCTCCGGAATTACCCCAGCTGTTCTGATTGTCCCAGGGACCAGGCCCGCCATTGTTCCAGCCGCCTCCTCCTCCGCCACCGCCGGAGTTGTATCCTTGGTTGCCCATGTTCCAATCGCTGCCTGGGCCACCACCACCGCGGTTACTCCAATTGCCACCGCCATTGTTGTAGTTACCGCGGGGGCCTCCACGGGAACCACCACCACGGCCACCACCGCCGCCTCCTCCGCCACCGCCCATATTACCACCCGAACCTTGGGCGCGTTCCATCTCAGCCTTACTCAAAGCTTTCTTCACATCAACATGTTTACCGTTGATTTCATGCGAGCGTTTCACTATTAAAACATTAAATTTGTTAATATTTTTATAAACCATAATTTAAAAAATGAAATAAATAACTTACAGCATATTTTATCAACGGAATCATAATCCTCGAATTCGATAAAACCGAATCCGCGTTTTTTACCGGTCTCCTTGTCGGTGACAATGGTACAGGATAAAATATTCCCGTACTGTTTGAAATTCTCGCGCAAGTGCTCCTCTTCAACATCATCTTTCAATCCTCCAACAAAGAGCTTCTTAACCGTCGCGCCCGCTTCCGGCCGGCCAATTTCTTGGCGCGGCACCGCACGCTTGGGTTCCACCACGCGGCCATCCACACGATGCGGTCGCGCAATCTGCGCGTCGTCCACCATGTGTGCGCGCGAATAGGTAATGAAACCAAAACCGCGCGACCGCTTTGTTTTCGGATCCTTCATCACCACGACGTCGACAATCTCGCCCCATTGCTCGAAATGCTTCTTCAGCGAGTCATCGGTGGTGCGATAGTCAAGTCCACCGATGAACAGCTTACGAAAGTGCTCCGGTTCTTGGATGTTGGGCTTTTGGTCGAGCTGCCGGGGAGAAAGCAACGAACATGCAAATAAAAATGTCGGCGCGAACAAGGTGAAACAACGCATTTCACATTGCAAGATACTTGGACGTGTAATAGAAGTAAAATGTAGGAAATTCTTACCGAATCGTCACCAGACATGATAGTATAAGTTGAATGTGACAATAAATTGTGTTAAATCTTGACGATTTTGTCAAATATCGGCGATTTATTGACTGATGAAACGAGGCGAACGAACCACAACGACAACGCGCACCGGAATGACAGGAACGCGTCCAAACGCTTTTACAAAATGGCGAAACAAAGCCGAAACATATACTTTTCAATGAGTTAGAAAAGGATGCGTTGAATAAAAGACGCTTACTGAAGCAGGCAACTGTAATGGCAGCGCCACCTGAGTTTGCGACTGAACAAACTAATTATTTAAACTAATATATCCCAATATGCACTTTTAACATAAACATTACTAATATTTAAATAATCTACACCTAATTTTATATACATTTCCATAATTTACAATGTATAAAAGTAAAATTTTCAACTAAAATCGTTCAAGTTCGATGTTAACCGAGCAAAACCGAATTAAATGCAGTATTGTGAATCGGTGCGGTTCACTTCTGTGCTAAATGAGTTAATTGCGGCAGCTGATATAAAATTTATTTAATAATATTTAGTTTAGTACATAGTGCAGCCCTCCAAACCGTGGCTGTAATTCCCAACTAGTTTGTAAGTTTAGCATAGGCCAACACGCTCAAATCTAATTGTAAGTACCGGCCGTGCGCGACGCACATCGCGAGTGTGTTTTGATTTCGGGCCAAGCCCATTTGCGGGCGGCTTTGAGGTTATCCGCCCGTGTTTGAAATTGTATTTTCATCGGGTTATTTTCAGCGTTAAAAGAAGTATCTGTTTGCAGTGCATTATGTCGTCGGGCAGGCCGATCAAGTGCGTTGTCGTCGGCGATGGCACTGTCGGCAAGACTTGCATGCTCATCTCCTACACAACAGACAGTTTTCCAGGGGAATATGTTCCTACAGTGTAAGTAGAGAGTGAATTTAAATTAATTTCATTAAAATTTTCATAGGAATTATAAAAATTCTGCAGAAAACTATAAAAATTTGGTTATGTGCGATTCTAACCTCAATTCTATGCGTTTTACTTTGTAGATTTGATAATTACTCAGCACCAATGGTAGTGGATGGAATCTCAGTAAGTCTAGGCCTGTGGGACACAGCAGGACAAGAAGACTACGACCGCCTGCGGCCGTTATCATACCCACAGACGGATGTCTTCCTCATTTGCTTCAGCGTCGCCTCGCCATCGTCCTTTGAGAACGTCACCTCCAAGTGGTACCCGGAGATCAAGCACCACTGTCCAGACGCTCCGATGATCCTCGTCGGCACGAAGATCGATCTGCGTGATGATCGAGAAACACTCGGCGCGCTCGCCGATCAAGGCCTCAGTCCCATCAAACGCGAGCAGGGCCAGAAGCTAGCGAATAAAATCCGCGCCGTCAAATACATGGAGTGCTCGGCGCTGACGCAACGAGGCCTCAAGCAGGTGTTCGACGAGGCGGTGCGCGCCGTCCTCAGGCCCGAGCCGCAAAAGCGCCGCCAACGAAAGTGTCTTCTCATGTAGGAACAAGCGCCAAAATGTTTTCTTATTTGCGATGGAATGGTTTCAATGAACGTGCAAGTCAATATTACTCTCATCATCGTTATCACGCTTCACAATTATTCCGAACTTCGAATTCTCTTCGAGCCTATTTAAATATTTTTAAGATATTCGATATTTTTATACGTCAATTAACGAATAACTAAAATTCAAACCGCGAAGCGCGCGTGCCCCACACCGTTTTTCTAATTTATTTTGTGCCATTGATTGTTTCTTTTACTACTAATACTAACAATTTACTAAAATTAAACATAGGCTTATAGAAAAGAACGACGACATTGTACTATTATTATATATTGCGTAGATTTCTAGAGTATTTAACGAATTAAAAACAAACAAAAAATAATGATCAAAATGTTGAATTGAATCAAATGATGGCAACTGATATATAGGAAGAAAGAAAACAAAATGGTCGACCAAAGTTAAGCTTAAGTTCTAGTCACTTACTTAAAATAATGTAACTCATGTGAATCACTCAGCCAATTGTATTCGCACACACTCATTTCACACCGGTCACGTACACTCACATTGTTTTAATTTAATTTTCCTTGAGAATTGTGTAATTTTAATAAAAATTATTTCGAATTTTCGATGGATTTTTCATTTCTAGGTTGCTCTGTGTTGTGTTGCCATAGCAACGTGTTATTACCATGGTTACCAAATCAACAACGTCAACCATTTTGAATTTACAGCATTTCTACACGCACACAGCACATTTTTACAAGTTTTACATCGAATCATGACCGAAAGATTGATAATAGACCAGTCAACATTGGTGAAATACGATAACCCATTACTAGTGACCAAACACGATGACAATTCAAAAGAGGTTGATATACAAACCTGCAAAACCAAAGGTGTCGCCGATCCAAAACACGAAATCGAAGAAGTATTGAATTCCATCCTGCCGCCGAAGGAATGGGAAGAAGAGGGTCAACTCTGGCGTCAGCACGTCTCGACCACACCGGCAACACGTCAGGACGTGGTGAATCTTCAGGAGCAACTGGATATGCGGCTGCAGCAGCGTCAAGCACGCGAGACCGGTATCTGTCCAATCAGACGCGAGCTCTACACGCAGTGTTTCAACGAGGTGATAAGACAAGTGACGATCAACTGCGCTGAACGCGGATTGTTGCTTCTGCGCATCCGTGACGAAATGCGGATGACAATCGAAGCGTTTCAAGCATTGTATTGCAGCAGCATTGCGTTCGGCATGCGCAAAGCGCTGCAATCCGAACAGGGCAAGACTGACTTACAGAAGGACGTCGATGAATTGAAGGAGGAACGTACGGATTTAGAACGACAACTCGCTGATCTAAGACAGCGTGCTGAGCAGGCCGATCGTCGCGCCGCCGAGTTACGACTCGCCGAAGAGAAGAAACACGCTGAAGAGATTTCATTTCTTAAAAAAACCAATCAACAATTAAAAGTAAGATAAAAAAAACAAAGAATAAATATTATTTACCATTTTAAATGTTTCAGGCTCAGCTGGAAGGCATCATCGCACCGAAAAGCAACAAATAGCACCGGTATTGTATTAAATATTTATTTGTAGCACAATATAATGTAATAAACGTCCTAATAATTCATCTTCATATAAAATAACACCGTTAAACAACTAATGCGGGCTTCACTTATGTGCTAATAGTATTAAGATTAAAAATTCATCATGAAATATGAATAAAATACTTCTTTGTACAAGAATAATTTAAAAAAAAACCGAGCGTCCCCAACCTGTTTCTCCACTGCTTGCGTGGAATGTCAAAATGATTAAATGCAGAAATAAATGTGAATTTAATGCTTGCCGCCGCGCTTGGACCGCTTGCGCCGTTTTTTCTTACCGCCGCCATTCTGCCCGGCATTTGCAGTCTCCGCATGCGCGAGTTCCAGCTCCAAACTGTTTTCTTCTTCGATCGTCGGCGTCGATTGCTCCGATTTGTCGCATTCGTCAGTAAAACCGTTATTTCCGTTGATTACATCTAATGGATCGGGCTTGGTCAGTTCTAGAGATATGATTTTTTCCTGTAGTGTCTCAACCTGGCCGAAACAAGATGGCGGTTAGTCACATGGTTATCGGTTAGACCGTCACATTGGTGCAGATTGTCTACATATGCAGTAAAATTTCAAAAATTATACACAGCGCATGCGCACTACGGGTGTGTTTACAAATCGTCTACATATTACAACAGCGAGAGATTAAATTAGATTTAAATAAGATATAAGAGAGAAAACATTCGGTGTTAAAGACTAACCAGGTGCGGGTGTGTTTTGATCATGCTGTCATTTTGCGGATGCGGCAACGGGCTATACTACCTCTTTCTCGATCAGCTTCTCGACATACTCGACGGTGCGCACGCGTCGCTCCCCGGTGGCATCGTCAATGTACTCTTCGGTTTTGCGCGTGACGGTCTCGTTGACAATCTTCTCACTTTCACGCACCGTCGTATTGCCTGGTGTGCTGCGCACCGCCAACTTGGGGAAGTCGGCCGATGATGGCCGCAGCTGGACACATGCAATGCTGTTAGTACTCTGCGCATGACCGGACCAGAGTTAACAGTTTCAGTTAGTTCAAGTTAGTTTCAATACAATACAATACAATACACAACATGACATTCGTATCAATCGAATTAGTTTTAAAATCTCTAAAAATTAAATCATCTAAGATGGCCGAATTATTATTATATCACGAACCTCATTGTCGTTGTCCTTTGCAGTTTCCCGCTCGCCCACCATGTCCGTCATTGACTTAATCACCATCTGCGCTTGCATTGCGTCCTGTTCCAATGATTTAAGTCGAGCTTGACGCCATGCAGCGCGTTTCTCGGCGCGTCTTGTCCGCTCCTCAGCTGGTGATAGGTTATGTTCATCTTCATCCGTGAGCAAACCCTCTTCACGCATGCGATCCTTCATTCTACGCTCGGCTGTCGCAGTCCTTATAATACCAATGGTACTATGAGGTCTACAAACACAAAATAATAATAATTTTACATTTTGTGAGTTAAATATTAATTCTAACCTCGATGGCTGCGATTCCATTGATTCATCATCGGAATTATCTAAAATTCCAAGTGAATCCATATCGGACGGCGATAAATTGGCGATTTTTCGTTCTTCTTCGGCTTTCATGCGTTCCACTTCATCCGGACTCAAATAACTGAATACTTTATCTAAAAATTTACGAAATTTTAGTATTTCTACATTAAATTTGAGGTTATTTTAAATTCTAACCTGGTTTTGGCGATGATTTAACACTTTCCTCCATGGCATTCTCGAAGAATTTCTTTTTATCACTCACGGACATTTTATAATTGTTGTTTGGCGATTGCGGCGGCTACAAAACGTCATAAACCATAATAAAAATTCAATTTAACAAAAAATTAAAGAAATCAACACACGAAATTCACTCTGTGTACTTTACCTTCTTATCGGGCAAAGAAAAACGCTTAAAGAATGTTTCGCTCCGTCGTTGTTCACCACGCAGCGGTTTATCGCGACGCCTTACCGAATCTACGTGCCTAGTGGTAACCAAAAGTGCGTCGGTTTCGGTCGTGCACGTTTGTTTCAACGTTATTGTCTTTTTCACAGGAGGAGGAGGCGGAGGCGGCGGAGTTTTTTTACTTTTAGGAGGAGGAGGCAAGGGAGAAGGAGGCGCTGGTGGTAACACAGGCGCATCTTCAAAATCCACCACCTGCTCAACAGGCGGCGGCAATGGTAACGGCAACACATCCATATCCACTTCCGGCGGCGGTGAATCCGGTGGTAATGTATCCGGCGGTGGTGGAGGTGGCCCCGTGGGTAATTCAAGCATCGAAGGTGTAAACACCAACGAATCATCATCATTCAAAGTAATAAACTCTAACAGCGTCTGTGACAAACGATGATCCTGAGGAGATTTCTCAAGATGGCGACGTGCGACCTCCACCGGCATGGAATCCAGGCTTAAATCACGCGCAAACAAATCGGCCATTTCCGATTGTTCAGTCTTGTCTATCTTTTCCGTGATTAATTCCACAACAGTATCACGTCTTTCATTCGCAAAACCTTCGGTATCACTGGATGCATCCACACTCAGTGTCCTCGGGAAAGCAATTTCTTTGTGTGCGCTCACAGGGGATGCTTCCACGATGGTTTTATTCAGACTATCATCACTGGAGCATAATCTAATCTCTTCAAAGCTCTCTTTATCATCTTCGTATAATAAAAATTTCGTTTTAATCTCATCTTCGGCTTCCTCACCCGGAAACTTCCGGGTTACTTCAATGGAACTCTCAAGTTCACTTTCGGGAATCTCAATGTTTAATAAATTATTATTATCTTGTTTATTTGTTTCTGTGTTTGTATTTTTATTCATTACCACAGATGGCGTTACCTCTTCGGTGTCAACTTTAATATCCGGTATTGAAATTGCTCCGATTGTGGTAACACGGTCATCAAACGATACCCTCCGAGGTGTTTTCGGTGGTAATGGCGGCGGAGGTGCCTCTCTCATCGGTATATTAGCATAGATAATCTCTGGATGATGTAAAACAAGTTTCTCTTTGTCGTTATCTTTAACTACCGACGAGGATAGCGTAAAGTAAGACTTTTGTGGCGGTGGAGGTGGTGGCCGTGTGGGCCTCATGGCAGAAATAGTAAAATCAACAGATTTTGATCGTTCAGTTGGTGATATACTGGGAATTGCAGGCGGTGGTTGTGATGGTCTTTCAATAACCCTATACGCAGGTGAAGAAGTGGAAGTTCTCGTCGATAACAAACCCATTGGTGGTTGAATCACAACCGTCTGTGGTGGGGGTACACTCTCAAAGAACAATCTACGTTTCGCTTCGTTTTCTTCAATGGAATCACTCAATCTCTTCAAAAGAGCTGTGCCTGTATCTGTATCTGTGTCATCTTTTCGTGGTCTCAACTCAACTTTGGGTGTTTTATCTGTTTCAAGGGAAGAATGGGAATGATCAGAATAGGAATCGGGTTTAGGTGGTTTCCGGTGCGTCGTTTCCGGTTGTTTGGCCTGTTTAAAGGATAAACACTCGCTTTAAATTGTGTGCACTAGCCAGCAGGCCGTCACCCTTTTTTTTTGCAAGCCAACACAACACGTGTGGGTGATGCGCGTAAAAACAACACAACACAATTATTAAACAAATAGCGCGCGTTACAATACGATATAAACTCGCAAGATGAAGAAAGGCGTGTTGGTGTGTGTGTGTGCTGTGCGAATGATTGATTGATTGACACACATGGCGTAATTATTTTTACCAAAAATATATTTACCATACGTATATCACATAAATTGTTTTGTTTTTTCTGGTTTTTCTTTTGATTCCCAAACAACAATCGAGAGTAAAACATGTACACAAGTGAGAAACATTGATTTCTTTATCATTTATCATTGAAAACAAACATTTTTTTATACTTTTAGAGGCAGTACTCAAAGGGTTACATACAGATTTGCATGGAAATGTTATCAAAATCTAGTATAATATCAACGCAAATTGATTCATAGTTTTCGAGTGTAACCCCTTGTGACGTGTGACGCCTTCGGTTTAGATTAGATTACCTTATCGAGTAATTAGTAACGAGTAATCATTGCTGTTCGGTTTCGATCGATAACAAAGCACCATTGGGTAATTTAATTATATTGTGACAATCATAGAATATATTTCATATATATATTAATTAGTTACTTCGCAATAGAATACTCTGTTTATACCTTTAACACTTTCAAAATGGCGTCGTGTGAAATAAAAACTTTCAAACGCAAAAAAGTTTACATCTTAAACATAAAAATAAATAAATCTACTGTAAAATGGACATTTACCTCCATCGCTTGCTTTGAATTTGATCTCTCTTTTTTTTAATTGTTCGTGATATGAGTCTGTGTTTAATTAATTTCTTTTTTTTGGCAAAATTCGTTTAGATTTAATCAGACGTGTGTGGTGTACGTATCGTTAAATGTTTTCTACGGCTGCGCTGACCTCTGAAAGACAACAATATTCGCACTTTATCTCATCATTCATCAATAATTTGCACAATCATGCTGAGAACGACATCGATGATTCACTTTTTGGTAAAAATAATTAATCAACCAGATAGAGGGGGCAGGGGGCAAGAGGGCGGGCGGGTGAAATAAACAAAATATGGTGAACAACGAACGAACGAAACAAACAAAACCAACCAAGCATGTGAATTGTGAAATATAAAACACACAAAAAGCACACGCTACAAATACAAATACAAAAAACAATGGCGGTTAATAAAAAAAAGATGTCTACTTACAGTTGTCGCTGCATTTTGGGCCGCGAGCGTATGCTTGCTCATCACGATCGTAGTTGTTTTAAGTTCACTATTTGGTCCCCCTGGAGATTTGGGCGCGACGGGTATTTCATTGTGAGCCAGCGTCTCCACCGCTCTCACCACATCCAGGACTTTATCAGCTGGCGTAGTTGGTTTTGCTTCCACCAGCGACATGTCCGCATCTGCTTCCAACTCCAATTCGTTCTCCTCCTTAACATCTTCAACTAATTTCAACCGCTTTTCGGCGTCTTCCTTCTCAAACTGCACAATTTCATTCTTCATCTTGGCTTCTTCCTTCGACGTTGTATCATCGTCAGCCATGTCCAGAGAACTTACACTCTGTGACCGACTGCTGACAGATCCAGCGCGTGTGAGGCGTCCTTCAGCCACAGCTCTATCAACTTCCGCTTTATCATAACCCTTACAGACGACCATGTGAATGGTATCGCCGCAGTTACGCAGAGTATTCACAGCTTCCTGATGCGTAGCGCCTAGTAATGACTTGCCGTTTACTTCTAGCAAACGCATGCCTGTTTTCAGGCGGCCATCACGACGCGCTGCACCGACTGAGTTTACTTTCGACACAAACACGCCTTCATCGGATCTGTCAAGAGGATTACCACGTTGGCCCTGAAGACCACCCTTTATGTGCATGCCGAGTTTTTCATTCTCCTCCTTCACAATCGTCATTGCCTGTGGAAATAATTAAAAGTAAGCACAAGTGACATAAAATGTTGATGAACTTACAAGTGATTTAACATATTCAATCTCGAGAAGCTTGCAAAGTGAAAAGACAAAAAGCTTGTGCAATCATTTATGACCTAACCAAAAACGAAACAAAACACATACCTGGTACCCTTCCGGTAGGGGATCATGGCGGATGGTGAGTGTGATTTGATCACCAGGCCGCAACAATTCCATAACAGCCTCCTGGTGCGTCGCTTGCGTCACATCCGTGCCATTTACCTTGAGAATACGATCACCGACACGCAGTTTACCACAACTGGCAGCCGTCCCACTTGGGACCATCTATACCCAACCATTAATTTAAATATATCCCAACTAGAAATGAAAGAATTCAAAAAAAACTTACGTGCGAAATAAATATGCCGGGTTCCTTGACGCCGAAAGGTATGCTGGAATGATCCGTACCACCAATAATACTAAAGCCCAGAGACCCACCGGCTTTGCTCAGCGTAACATCCTAGATGATAAACAAAACACCGAAAATAAAACAACCACACGAGGCAATTGGATGCTTAAACATATTCAACGGTGCCTCGTGTGGTACCATCGCTAGATGAACAATACATAAATAATAATATGAATAATAATAATAATAAACAATTTCGTCATTTCAAGGTGTAAAATAAAAGTTAATTGTATCATACGTAGAGTGTAGAAGCGGAGTGAGTAGTAAGGGAAGAACTTTTGAAAGGGACGCTCCGTGTCCCCGGAAGTCCGTTACCTGTGTATTCTTGCTGGGTGGTGGTGGTGGTGGTGGTAGGTGTGTGTGTGTGTGGGCGAATTCACTGCTAGTTTTTGTGGATGAGGCCCCAAAATAAACTAAGCTACGCTCAAAGTCTTCAAAAATGATTGGTCAATATTAACGATAAATGAGGTTAGGTGTTATAGAAAAGCCAGCACCAAAAAACCAAGAAGAAATAGAATTGTATAAGGCGGGCGCCTAAAGAAAATGTTCTTTTCGCGCGCATTCGGAAATAAAAATGATTGCAAGAAGCTGGTGCAAAACAACGGCATACATGCTGCTCAACTAGAATTGCGTTTTTGAGGGCGTCATCCGTTACACCTTTACCTCAATGATTAGGGGCGTGACGAGCGTATTGTCAGTGATGCGCGTGACGACCGTCTCCGTAAACGTACTCTTGGTGATCGTCTCCGTGACGCGTCCGGGTCCGGTCGGCGCCGGCGGCAGTTCGATCGGCGTCTCCGGCTTCCTGATCGTGACAGTGACATTGTGTGTGTGTTCGGACGTCGGGGGGGTGGGCGTGCGCTTGGCGGCGCCGTCGGAGGCGGGATTAAGGAAGTGGGCTGGGATCATGGCTTGGAACTCCTCGCTTGTGATGGGCTTCGGTAGTACCTGAGCATCGTCTCCCTCCAGCGAGGACGTCGGCGTGACGACTTTGTGATTGCTCGCGGGGAGAATCTTACGCGGCGCCGGCTGCGGGGGTGGCGCCTTCGCATCCACACCATTGGTCTTTGCGTGCTCAACCGGTGGTGTCGGCGATGGTGCCGATGTATCAATCTAAACACACAAATATTTAAAGAAAAAACCTAAAAAAAACATCCAACAAACCTTTTTCTCCAACTCCAAAGACCTTCGATAGCTCGAATAGCCGGGACGGTTTGCCATATAGCTATTAGCTGAATACAACCCGGTGTAAGGTTTAGGCAGACCAAACAGTCGCGGTGACTGTTGTGGTCCCGGTGATGGCGTAGGACTATCCCTAACCGGCATATCCCTCTCAACCACCAACCTCACAAACCTCTCCAACCCCGTCAACATACCCACGGCTTGATCATGCGAAGCCCCCGTCAAATCAACGCCATTAATCGAAATAACCTTATCCCCCACCGCCAGTTTCCCATCCTTCTGCGCTACACCACCATCGGTAATCCGCGAGACAAAAATCGCGTCCGAATCACCTTTGAACGCCGGCGAACCCTTCCCACCCGCAATACTGAAACCCAACCCGCGTGAATCCCGTATCAACGTCGTATGAATCGACACCCGCTTGACAGCGACATCATCATCGCTCACCAGCGGCGGCAACGGGGACGGAATCTTCAACTCTTTACCTTCTTTACTCTCCACACCAACACCGCCAACAATACTATTATCATGAACAATCCGCGTTACTTCGCGACTAATCTCAAACACCAGCAGTGGTCCGGCTGCTTTTAATACTTCCACGGCATCGTAGTGACTAACCCCAACCAGCGAATGCTCATTAACCGTAAGCACTTTATCAGCGACACGAAGCCCGGCTAAATCCGCAGGACCTCCATCGGTTACGCGCGATATAAAGATACCCTCATCTTGCCCCTTGAACGGGGTAGAACCCCGTCCGCCAGCTATCGACAAACCGAGCCCGGCCTTCGAGCGTTCAATATGAATCTCGTATTTTTCTTCACGTAACTCCACGGTTGGCACGCCGGTCGATGCATTCGTAGTGGCGTCCGATTCCCCAGCTGCGAAACAAACAAGTAAACAATCTATTAGTCATGTGTTCGGTAATGAAGTCAACCTTGTACTGGTAACAAACATGTTCTAATGCATAGCAACGCGTAGTAATCGTTAAAATTTTTCGAATTTTCCGTTTTTTATGCCTAAAAAAGCACAAAAATTTCTACCTGGCACATGCCGCAGTGATTGTAAACTCCGATGATGCTCAGGTACTCCTACTCCGCCACCGTATCGGTACGTAGGCGTACGATTACGAATCCGTATCACCGAACCCTTATTCCTCGGCAGGGTCCCGGCCTTAATATGCACCGTGCCGCCATTACTGCGTATGCGGATCTTGGGCAGTGTACTCGTCATATTCAGGATAAGTAGGATAATGGAAAAGGTAACACAGAAACAATGCAACGCGACCACCGCCGAGAGGTGACTGAGGTGCGATTATCGCAGTATCTCGTCGCGTTGCTCATTGCTCATTGTCGGCGCTAAACAAACACGATAAGATTACGAATAACAAACGGATAACACCCGAACGCGCGATGAAATTGTTGGGCGCGCGCGCAATGTTTTAATTTTACTACCGCGCGCTTGCTGCTGCTGCTACTCAAGTCGTCATCGAGTAACTAGTTAGTTACTCGCATTGAAATAATAGTGAGCGTGTTTTACCTTGACTGCTGGTGCTGCGCACCGATTCCGGAGGAGTGGAAACGCTCGTTCGATCGCTGCCGTCCTCCTCCTTGCGTTTGATCGCCTGGACAAACATAGCGAAATACATGTTAGATACGATGACAAATTCAATCAAACAACAACCACACGCATACATACATAGAAAAAATAAAATTTTTAAACATAACAAGCGTATCAAAAGCGCAGGTTTGCTTAAATTCGACGCAGAGCCATTTATTAGACATGTACGTGTTGTTTAATGTCAAATACTTATAAATATTCAATAAGTGAACTTGGAAAATTAAAAATAATCGCGTTATTCATTTGTTTACTTATGATAATCTATACGTAGTAAGTTTTTAATCAGGTTTTTGATGATTACTCATCAACGGAAAATGATAAAAGTATGATTCGTTCATAGATCGATTCGGAATTAAATTCTTTATCAAATGTATGAATATTTTGTTTATAACTAATTTATTTATCAAGTTATACTCAAAAAATAAAAATAAAATGAAATTAAACTTTAATTAGTTATAACTTTTTTTCTAATTACACGATTTATTTAAATTTTTCATAAAATGTGTAAAATTTAATTATAAACAATCCACTGAAACAATTTTTATTCTACCGCTTCTGGTTTGCGAGTAATTAATTTTTTTTAATTTTAAAACTCGATTCGGTTACTCCGGATGAAATTCCATATTGTCGATTGTCTTTTTTGTGTATGGCAAAGGTAACGAAATATGGCGGACACATAAATTCGATACAGGTACGAAAACAAACAGAGTGAAAGTCGAAAATATTTCCAACGAAAGTGCACTGACTGGGAACACACGGCTTGAAATCATGAAACAATTTCCAAACGTTTTCAATTTTAAGGTGACTCTACGGGTAATATATCCGTGCGCGGATTGCTAATCTGGGAGATGATGTCATACGACGAGCGTGTGATATAACGAGACAATGCGTCTGTGCGTCGCAGCGGCGCAAAAAGGTCAAGAGAATTAGAACTCGCAGCGATTCGCGTTTGTTTTTCACCTCCCGCGGAAGATGCGAGGCTGTAAACGCTACAATAAACTAATTTGGGCGTGTGTTAAAGGTCACGCGATGGATTTTTCTTTTTCGCTCTTTTGTTGATTCACGAACGCATGCGCGCATGATGTCCAAGTCGTGACTCAAGCCAAGCACTTAACGTGCACCTTTCTCTTTACAGCGGCGCGCGGGAGAAAATTAACCTCAAAACTGCAACGGCAACCCAATATACACATACATAGTCAATACATTAGACGAATTAGTGTGAAGCAAGCAAAGAAAAATCATAAACAACACAACACACACAGTACAAGAATATTATAGACCTGTGCGATAATGGAGGCCATCTTATCTTTATCGATGACGGCGGCGTTGATGCGTTTATTCTTCAGATGGTGCGGCGTATCCCGCCGATGGAGACGCAGCGGACGCGCCGCATCCGCGTGGTCTTCACCCCCATCGCCGACGAAACCGACGACACGTCTCCTCGTCGTCTCCTACACGCGCAAATTACTTACTTATCGCTACCACATCAATGGCGTCCACACATCATACACATACAGGGTGCAAAAGTGAGGTTAGGCGTGTGTGGTTTAGATTGGTTAGCAACTACGATCACCGGACGCCCTCTATAATCGAAAAAGTACCAAAGAAAAAAAAACTCACATCGTCCGTGTCATCTTCGGCGCTCGGATCGCTGTTCTCCTCGCGGCCATTCAAAGGTTGTGATTGGTGAACAAAAGAGGGTGCTGGTGGTTGTGGTGTTTGAGGTTGAGGTGGGGGTGGCGTCGGCTCCTTCGTATGCGCATTCACCGCCTCGATAATCGGCAGCGCTTCCGAGGTGGTCTGCAGCTCGGAGTCCTCCAGCGAATTCTGGCCCTTTGCAAACAACTTGTGCGCCTTTGCTTTCAACTCGCGCGGATGTGGGGTGTTCTGACGGACGAAGGGTGTCTGCAAAACAATACACTCTAAACGTAGTGTTGGTTGCCTATACGCTAACCTCCCAAATGAAATAAATAATCATAAAAAAGAAAACCACGTTCCGCTCCACAGAACTTTGTTTTATTTCTGTCGAGTCACGAATCACAGCGCGTACTGACTTGGAGTACAGTTAGAACACTGACAGACGCCAGGCATTATTCATTGCACAATGGTACAACTATTCTCCGCGCTTTTAATTTAACTAATCTGATCCGCACGTTGAATACGCCGCATTGATGGAAATGAGTTGAGAGTTGGAGGTTGTAATGCATGGTTGCATGTTGGAAATGTAAACTACACGCTAGCATAGGCAACCAGCAATACACAATAATTAAATATTGGTTGCCTATATTCTACAACACCCAAACACCATATATAAGGAGTATAAGAGTAAGAAAGTAAGAAATAGAAAAATAAAACCCCACTATTTCTATTACCAAGTTACTTATATTACATGCATTGTTTAAATACAAAAATAAAATTCGTACAAAAAAAACACCACACACAGACTACTTCCTACATTAGTAGATTAATAAATTAATATTTAATATTTACATTTCCAACACTCTGGATGTGTTAATGAAATTAATGACGGTGTTAGTTATTACTGGATTGATTAGTGGTTAACCTCAAAAAAGACAATACTGTTTCTGTTAGCCGGCCGGCAGCATGTTATAGCTGTCCGAGCGCAGGACCGTCTTCGACACGCAATCGGTAAGCCGCTCCCAGAGAGTGTCGAAGAACGTCCGCCACCACACCGCAAGTCGGCGTGCTGAAGATGCCGTAGCACTACTGGTGGTTGAGCTTACCTCACGGTTGTCCTGCTCCTGCGCGTCGACAAACTTCACCGAGTGCGTGCGGCTGGCCTCGCGCTCCTCCCAGTCCTCGTCGGGGTCCTCCGGCTCATCTGCACGAAGAGCACCATTAGACAAACCGGGCGCGAGCTCGCAACGATACAGGCGACCGTCGGAAGCTAGGGTTTGTTTGTGTGTAGGTGTGCGGGGAGGGCGCGCAGAGGAAAACACGTGCAATAAATAAACACAAACATTCACAAGACGGCACTTGACCAAAAGAGACCAAGACAAAACAAAAGAATTTCAACGAAAAACGGTTTTTGAAAATCATTTGAGGGAGGCTAAGAGGTACCATGAATTTGAAATGCCCGCCATTTTGGTATCTCACGAGGTAAGAACTTTATTTGTGTGAGAATTGATGCGCAATTAAATATATTTTCCAAAACGGTTTAAATTTTTAAAATCTCATCATTAGAACATCGGGAATTTGGAATTTTCTGAAATTTATTGCAAATTTGAAAGAAAACGCGTTTTTCAACTTAAAACGTCCGCCATTTTCTTATTTTAAAAGACAAAAACTTAATTTTTATGTATAATCATCCGCAATTAACTATATTTTCATAATCTTTTAAAATTTTGAAAATCCCACCACTAAAACCCCCAAAATTTTTAAATTTTCCAAAATTTCTCGTAAAAATTACAACAACACGATTTTAAATTTAAAACGTCCGCCATTTTGTCAATTTAAAAGCCACAAACCAAATTTTCACGTCAAATCATCCGCGATAAACTATATTTTCATAATCTTTTAAAATTTTGAAAATCCCACCACTAAAACACCCAAAATTTTTAAATTTTCCAAAATTTCTCGTAAAAAATAAAAAAACACGATTTTAAATTTAAAACGTCCGCCATTTTGTCAATTTAAAAGACACAAACCAAATTTTCACGTCAAATCATCCGCAATAAACTATATTTTCAAAATCTTTCCAAATTTTTAAAATCCAGTCACTAGAACATCCGTTCCTCCCTCAAATGATTATAACCTCGGTAATCTCCAATCCAATCCAAAAAAACCCACATGCATTACTCACCTATCGTAGGCTGATACTCCTGCTGCGGCAGCAGGAAACACGTCAACACCGTATTCCCCGTATGCGGATCCGTATCCGTCTGGAAGGTCAACATCGGCTGCGCCTGATTCTCGCTCAACCACACCGCCTTGAGCGCCAACTGCAGCAGCGTATAGGGCAGATACGGCAGCCGATTCCCGGACACATCCAACACATGCAACCGCTCACAATTCCCGATTGTATCCGGCAACATGGTCAAGCGATTATCCCTCAGACTCAACACACCCAACTCGACCAGATTACCAAACTCATCCGGTATGGTGGTGAGCGAATTGCGATCTATATTCAAATTCGTCAACCGGACAAGCCGACCGATTCTATTCGGGATCTCATTGAGAAAGTTCTCAGTCAAAATTAACTCCTGCAGGTTAATGCAGTTGCCAATATTGGCATTCAACAGAGACAATCGATTCTGATCAACTTTTAAAATCGTGAGCTTTTCCAGCTTGCCGATACCATCCGGCAGCATTTCAAGCACATTCTGTGACAGATGTAAATCAGTAAGATTAGCAAGACCCGCAATCTCTTCCGGCAGAGACTCCAGACGATTCTCGGAGAGATCAAGACAAGTCAGGTTTTTCAATTGACCAATTTCAGGTGGTAATCGTTGTAGAATATTGTGATCCAACCAGAGTTCCTGTAGAGCTGGTAGGCTACCTATATGTGATGGCTACACCATCGAATAAGGAATAGAAACAACATGATATGATAACCCTACCCCGGATGGAAACAATCGACTTACCAATTCGTCAATCTCATTATCGCCCAAATCGAGCCGCTCGAGTTTAACGAGCTGCGCCATCGAGGCGGGCAGCTCCTTGAGCAGGTTCTCGCGCAGCTCCAGCGACGTGAGCGAGATCAGATTGCCAAAGTCGGCCGGCAGCGCTGTGAGCGACATGTCGTTGAGGCCGAGCATCGTCAGCGAGCGCAGTTCGCTGAACGTGACCGGCAGGCGGGCGATTGGATTCGAGCTGAAGTCGGCCACCTGCAGCGATTGCAGCGTGCCGATCGACTCGGGAATATCCGGTATATCTGCAAATCGCGTAGAGAGAACAAATAGAAACGATTTCATGATGGATTTATTTCGGGCGGCAGGCATGGCGGTGTTTGTAGTACACGCGAGGGTATTTTTAGACGTTTGTATACTTTATCGTCGCCTTGATTGAGTTTACTTCAGATAAAAATCATCCAAACAGAACATCACTCAAAAAACTAATCTTGGACGCCCAGAAATTGAAAATTTTAAAAAAGAAAAGAAAAACCTTAGAAAACGTACGGTGATACGCGTGGATTACCTGCAGAAAGTGGGGGGATGACTACTACTGCTGCTACTACTACTACTCCTACCCCTTTTGCTACTTTTGCGCGGGTAAACCGCGGGTATAAAATTCAAGAAGAAGAAAAACAAGCGCGCAGTGCGCATCGCGCTCAGTAGTCCCTGAGTCACCCAGGAGTCCAGTCGCAGTTCTTTTCTTCTCTTTCTTTTCCCTATTTTGCTCGCGTAAAGAAAAACCTCGCAAATTACTCTAACAAAAAGTAGTCTACGACTTTTTCTTCTTAAAAACCCATCAACACATTCACAATTGAACAAATTCCTATACATGATTGAGAATCAACAGATGGTATGCCCAGGCATTCCTCTGCCATTCAAGTTATGGCCATTATCATAAAATATTCTTACAATAAGCAAACGAAAGAGAAAATTGCTTCTCCCGTTGAATATTTGCAATCAACAACCAACTACTACTTCACAATTAACAATAAATTAATTCAAGTATCACGTGTATCACGTTATCATCGACCTACTTTCATTTGAGTTTATGGCATGCACCTAAGTAAATACCCAAAAACGGCGATGCATTAAAATGAAGCCACACTTATGCAACGCACAATGCGTGCTTAGCGCAATCCGTTTTCTTTAAACCTGATAAACTGCCATTGAACTCCATCGCAATTGTTTAGCAATAAACTAAACCAAAATAAAACATAATACACCTCTCCATGCCCATAATTACAAAATAGAATATTGGCAAGCGGGAGCAGAACGTAAGCACAACCATTTCGCGATTTTATTGTGCAAAGAAAGTAGCACACACACACAGCGACGTTGTTCTAATTTGAGAATTCAGCACAGCGCAGCACAACACTTTGGAAATTTAATTTAATTTGATAACACAAAACACGTCCGATTGTTTGTGTTAGCCGTCCGAGTGGCGAGTGCCAATAAGTCGAATCAATAAAACACTAATACACCAACTCACCATTACGCATATTAATAATAATGATAATTGACTATGGTATTTATCGCTCATGCGCATTCAAGGTCACAAAATTTCCTCGCTATCTTGGCTTACATTTTTTCCCTAATCTATTATCCAACTAATTGCCAATTAACCTGTCCTCTTGCGTGTTGCACTTGTTGCATTCACAGTTATCGACTTTCTATGCACATGCGCATGTGACTTAAGTCGTGTCTGCACGCCTTGCACGCCTGCACGCTTTCGCAATGTGTATGCAGGCCGGTGCGGTTATGCAACTTCCGCAAAGTGCACTTAAAGTCAAAGTCATCTTAAACTTGAACTTAATTCAACTCGGCTGGAAATAAAACCGCATAAATGTAAAACTAAAAACGTAAAACGAAAAACAGCGCATTGATTTTAATTTGCGTGAGTTAATACACTACCGTCGTGTTATTTTATGACATAATAAATAAGACTATGGGCATAATGACGGCGATTTTCCGCTTGACGAGCAATCTGCTCCCATTTTCGTCGAATCACGCCCTATCATTTCGTTTACAACTTCTAAACATCCGCTCCTTGGCATTTACTAGACAGTCTAGTGAGTAATACACATACCGCACACCTTATTACGTAAAAAATGTTTAAATTTCTATCGAAATTGACGTGTATACGTGACAATTTCCGGTTTTTCTGGTATAAAACGAAAGTTTTGACCGCATGAGTGAATTTTTCAAAATTTCTTGTAAAAATTACAAAAACACGATTTTAAATTTAAAACGTCCGCCATTTTGTTAATTTAAAAGCCACAAACCAAATTTTCACGTGAATTCATCCGCGATAAACTATATTTTTCGAATCTTTTCAAATTTTTAAAATCCCACCACTAGAACACCCAAAATTTTGAAATTTTCCAAAATTTCTCGTAAAATTACAAAACCCGATTTTAAATTTCAAACGTCCGCCATTTTGTCAATTTAAAAGACACAAACCAAATTTTCACGTCAAATCATCAGCGATAAACTATAAAAAATGTTTAAAATGTTTAAATTTCTATCGAAATTGACGTGTATACGAGACAATTTCCGGTTTTGCTGGTATAAAACGAAAGTTTTGACCGCATGAGTGACTTTCGTTTAACACGTGTGCCACCTAATTCGCAACAACCCTCAATAATCATCCCTCGAGTGATGTTTTTGCGTTTTCGCAGTATAAAACCCTTCAAAACATCAAAAGTGCTTGTAAAACACTCGAAAACAGGAGAAAATAACACGTAATTTTAACCTTTTCAACACTCAGTGTATTTACAGTTATTGTGTGGTTAATGAAAGGGTAGCAAAGGTTCACTACGCACGAGTTGCACCCGACAAAACCCTTTTTACATCAAGCGCGCTTGAATGCGTCGAGAGAGAAACAAAAATCTGGGGAATGATTTCACTTTGCAATTAACCTATTTTTTAAACACGAAAATTACTCATCTTACTATGTAGTGTAATAGAAGTTGTGCGTCACATAAACATTGCGTAAATGATTATAAAACGGCATCCTTATAAGCACTGTTATTCAAGTGTAGCGTGCCGTGAATGCACAATCAGCGCAATCACATCGCTAGAATGAAATAAAGATGCAAGGCTAGAGACATTCGAAAATAGTACATTACATATCAAGAGTAGAAAATCATATTTCACTACAGTAAACTGTGAATAATGAATAGTATCCTACATTAGATGCCTAGGGTAGAAAATAATAAATTTTTATTACCTACCAAGGGCAGAAAACAGTTTTTCAATGAAGAATTAATATTGAGGGTGGAAAACAGTGTTTTCCAATGGTGGAGCACAAGAAATTACAAAAACATATTCCCAATGTCCCTGATTGTAAAAAAAATACCATTGCAGAACAAAATGTAGGCCAATCTCATTAGAGTAATTAAATTAGCCGCATACATTTAAACCCTTTTTACAACTGATTTCATTACTACAAAGATAACTTATCAATGACCGAGAATTAATCACTGCTTACTAATTGATCAATTAAATCATTGCTCATCAATTGGTTTTTCCTATCTCCATCACAATTAATAACATAAATAAATTATACCAACTTGTTCGATTAAAAATTCACCACAACCCTCACTTGTTGCATTCTCGATTACATTTTTAACACACACACTTACTACGTGCGTGTGATAATCACCCAAGCTTACTTCCTTCCGGCCCTCGAGTAAATTGTACTTAAATTTTCGTTTTACGCGCATGCCCCGCCCGTGCCCGCCGCCATGATGAATCACGTGCACTTTACATTCCGCACTTATCACGTTATCGATAACAAATATGCTCTCTCCGATAAACAAGGCTTACCATTGCGCGAGACGTCCAACTCGACGAGGTTCTCAAAGTTTTGTATATCCGATGGCAGCTTGTGAATCTCATTGTCGCTCAGGCCGAGCTTCCGCAGACGCTGCAGGCGGAAAAAGTTCTGGAATGAAACAAAACGTGACGTCAGACGAAACAAATGCAAACAAATTGACACAAACCAGAAACAAATGGCGATCGCACGCCGGTTTATTAATAAAGTCAGCATTACTTTAAAACGCTGCAAGTTATCATAAATATTCTTTCACTAAACCAACCTTCATTAAATTCTACATTTAATTATACAAACACATCATTACTAATTATTTTCAATAAATAATTATTAACAAAATAGTGTTTTTTACTAAAATGCTTATAAATTTCAAATTAATAATCGTATTGCAATAAAAATTACACAGTATATGCATAATTTAACTTCAAATCGATTTGTGAAAGAATCACGTTGATAACTTGTTGCGTTTTTGAGTTATCACAGAAAAACCATCAGAAAACAGGTATGATCTCACGTCGGTTACCTTCGGCAGGTCGCGAATATGATTCGCGTCGAGTAGCAGCTCCTCCAAGCTGCGCGCATACCGCAGGATGTCCTCGGGCACCGTCGGCAGCGAGCTGTGCCGCTTGTCGACATACTCGATCTGTCTATTGCACCCCTTGAAGATCGGAATGCAGCGAAACATTGTCGCCGCCGCACACAACACCAACACACACACGCACGCACGGATAGATTATACTTGCGCTGGGTGCAGAAACACTCCGGCTTCACGCGCTGTAGACACACACACTGCACACCACCATGGAAGCCGCGCACTCACCACCTAGTTTCAGCAACAACAACGTTCGAGGCACGCGAGGTTTAATAGAAAAAAAAATTCAGACGGCGGCGATCGCCCATGTCACGACACGGCGGCAGGCACCACTCCCGTTTGCGGCCAACAAAAATGTCGAACTGAAACTCGCCGAGCACGGAGCGAGTGCGGTGTCGGTAATGCAGAGCGAGTAAATGCTTCATTTAAGACTCGCAGCGCCACCTGGCGGAATTGTAATGTACTAATATTGTTTTAAAGCGTAAATTGTTTAAAAAACGCATAAATAAACGCAAATTCACGGAATAAACTATGTAAATTTAGCTATACGATAAAAAACAGTAATTAATATCGGTGGTTAGTGACCACTATTGGCTGGTTTCGTAACTATTTTTGACATTTTCATTGCATACACTCGTATTGGGTGGTATAGAAGTGTGTCTGCGTCGCGACGAAACGAGGAGTGAGTGAAAATTGAAGGCAGTAAAGCTCCAGCCAGGTCGCCGTCGTTGCTCCGACTCCCGAAGTGATCCAAAGTGAGTAAAAATTGCGCTCGATTATCTTCCGCGCTCGGCGTGACATAGCAACCGGTTGTTTTAGGCGTCGCCATTGTTTCGACAATGACTCAAGGCGTTGTTAGAATGCCCCACAACTAAGCTTTCGACACGAAGCTCCGCCAGATCGTCATGAGTCAAGCGCTGCTCGAGTCCGAAATGCCCGAAGCCGCCCCAGTCGAGACATCCACAAGCGACGCGCCCGTCAAAACACCAAGAAATTCTCGTCCGGTTCGCTCAGCGGTGCGACAGACGCAGCCCGGCCGAAAGTCGTCACCGTCAAGCACCCCGAGAGCAACAAGCCAAAACCGACCGTCAAGAAGAACAAACCCATCCAGGCGGATCTGGACGTAACCAAGGAATTCCTACGATGTCGTGAGGAAGGCTTCAAACGACTGGACCTCAGTAAGTCTAATATCACACTATTGCCAGCGACCGTACGCGATCTAACGCATTTATCCGAATTGTATTTGTACGGGAATAAAATCGCTACGCTACCGAATGAAATCGGTAATCTCACAAGCCTCCAGACGCTCGCATTGAGCGAGAATTCACTCACGAGTCTACCGGACTCGCTCGACGGTTTGAAATCGATTAAAGTATTGGATTTGAGGCATAATAAACTCAACGATATACCGGATGTTGTCTACAAGTTGACAACCCTCACAACACTCTTCCTGCGCTTCAATCGCATCAAATATGTCGGCGAAGAGATCCAGCACTTGACCTCGTTGACAATGCTCAGTCTACGCGAGAATAAAATACGTGAATTACCAGCCGAGATCGGGCGATTGATCAATTTAATCACATTCGATGTGTCACACAATCACCTCGAGCATTTACCAACTGAACTCGGCAACTGCACGATTTATCCACCTTGGACCTGCAGCATAATGAGCTGTTGGATATTCCCGAAACGATAGGACAACTGCAACAATTAACGCGATTGGGTTTACGTTACAATCGTTTATCGAGTATTCCGGCGAGTTTAAGTAACTGCAATCACATGGATGACTTTAATGTCGAAGGTAACGCCATCTGTCAGTTACCCGAAGGTTTATTATCCAGTTTGGTTGAGTTGAGAAGTATTACATTATCACGGAATAATTTCTCTTCGTATCCGTCGGGCGGGCCGTCGCAGTTCACGAATGTCGATTCGATTAATCTGGAACACAATCAGATCGATAAAATACCCTATGGGATATTTTCAAGGGCGAAGAACCTAACCAAACTTAATATGAAAGAGAATCAGTTGACATCTCTGCCGCTAGATGTCGGCACATGGCTGAATATGGTCGAGTTGAATCTAGGCACGAATCAACTCACGAAGTTACCCGATGATATACAGTGCCTGCAATGTTTGGAAGTGTTAACACTTTCGAATAATCTCCTACGGCGTATTCCGCCTAGTGTTGGTAATCTTCGCAAATTACGTGTTCTGGATTTGGAGGAGAATCGTCTGGAGCAGTTGCCGAATGAAGTGGGGTTATTGCGTGAGCTGCAGAGGTTAGTCGTGCAGTCAAATCAATTGACATCTCTGCCAAGGGCAATCGGTCATCTGTCAAATCTGCAGTATTTGAGCGTCGGCGAGAATAATATCAGCTTTCTACCGGAGGAAATCGGCACGTTGGAGAATTTGGAAAGCCTGTACATCAACGATAATCAGGCGCTGCATAATCTACCATTTGAATTAGCGCTCTGTTCGAATCTGGCGATTATGAGCATCGAGAATTGTCCGCTGTCGCAAATCCCGGCCGAGATTGTCTCCGGCGGGCCGTCGTTGGTCATACAGTATTTAAAAATGCAAGGGCCGTATCGCGCGATGTAAGGTAAGGGTAGACGTGTAAAAATGTGAACAAAATGTGATTACTGTTTTAATCTTAGACGTAATTTTAAGCAAAAAACATGTTACTAGGTTAAAACCAAGATGGCGTCTCGATATATATATATTCATTACAAGTGCATTTGTTAGATATCTCGCCGCACACATGACTGCGTCAGTATTATTTTACAATTGAAATTTATTCCATCAATGATTAAGTGTGGTTTTTGCTTTGATTTGAATGACGTCAGCAGGCGTGTGCGCAGAAACAATTGAGTTTTATTTGTGACCAATTTGAAGCATGACATTAGCGATTAAGAGAAAATGGCGGATTTGAAGTTGCGGTGGAGGAGGGGAGGGGGAGAATTCTGTTGCACACCATTTAAATAATCGATAAACGTCCGAAATACACCCCCGCGTGGAAAAGTATTATAATTTTGATAAATATTATGCGAAATGTGTCAAAGACGTGCATTAAATGTGATGTTATCTGTTCCGCCATCACCCCCACAGTCGTATATAATATTGCATGCGAACCGCCATCAAGCAAAAGACTTTAAAACACTGCTGTGCTCAAAAAACGCAGCCGCCAATTTGAAATGAAAGAAGAAGAAAAAAAAACAACCACGCATGTAAAACTAATCGTAATCTAATTGTGCTGAATGTATTAATTAGACAGATGGTAATAGACGTACCTACAATATAAGCATGTATTATAAATCCGAAAATATTATTCAACGCAGACACAAAGAGAGAGAGAGAGAGAGGAAAAAGTTCTATATTTGTATATTTAGTGGATTCCTGGATTGAAACACGCAATGCTAGCGCAACGAGAGCTTAAATCCAAAGAGAAAATAATTGATATGTTAGTCTATAGACCTTATTGAGAAACCAACATGGCGTAATAAGACTGCAAACGTACGATTTAAACACACACACACGTTCCGCGATTTGCAACAAGATGGACGACGAGAACACACGTTTCTTATGTGGATGTACTTTGTTTATCAACGCGAGGAATCATTATTGTTAATAATAATACGTTTGATTGCTGTAGCGACACGTGAATGATTACAATAAAAGTGTATTTTATCTCAGGGCGTTTGTTTTATTTAATAAAATGCAACTCACCGATGTGGACACGGACGGCATGGTGGTTAGTAGCACGGGTATAACCTAAATGCGCTAGTTTCGAATTGCAGGATGCCGTTGGGAGTGTCTGCGCATGATTGGGCGCAATAGTCATGGATGTGGTCACGTGATTTACGCACAGTTGACAGCACACATATTTAACGTGAGTTTTATCTTAATTTATGTGTTTAAATGCTTGGAATATTAAATTTAAAGGTTAACCTCACCGTTGTGGTTACTGTATTGCGGTTAGTACTATTATAACCTAAATTTGCATGTTTCGAATTAAAATTACAGTTAGAACTGACATCGCCTGATGTGACCACGTGACCTTTGCTCGATTGACAGCACACATGTATTTAACGTGTGTTTTATCTCAATACGATTGCTTAAATGCTTGGAATACTTAAATTAAAGGTTAAACTCACCGTTGTGGTCTCTGCATGGCGGATTCTACTGGAATAACCTTAATTTGCTTGTTTCGAATTGAAAATTGCAGTTATAACTGACAACGGTTGATGTGACCACGTGATCATAGCACAGTTGACAGTTCGCGGCTTCTGATTGGTCAAGTTGTCATTTTATGCCAATCATATACATATTCATGGATATTTTATCTTCTAAAACCCTTTTTGACATCCCTAGCTTATGGAACACAAGTTTCGATGATCTGCAACATTATTCATGTAATAATTTGAAATTTCACACAAATTTCTACAGATAAAACGCACGTCTCCAGTTGTTATAAATGTCTCGTATATTTTTTCGATAGCAACAAATATCTGATGACGAAATCGTGTGTCGAACAGCAAGTTAAACTTGTTGATGCAAATGTAGAATGAGAGACCTCGTTGGGAGGGGCATAAGTGTACGTTATATTTAAAAATGGGAACGAATGATCCAAGTGACAATACAGCAATGAGAGGGTGTACGCGAACCACACCACCATTCGATTGTTTCACGGATTGTTGTGTTGTAAAAAATCTCTAAAAGGCATTTTCACATCCAGTAGGAACGCGCATACACCCTGCGCTCGTCCTTCCTCTCCTGCAATCATCATCTTTCAGCCGACGTTACACTAATTAAAATACAAGGACTACGAATTAATATTGCGCTACAAAATGTGAGAAATACGGCAAAATACATATCGAATTCGGTATTGTTAGCGTCCGGGACAGAACAACATAAAAACTAACATTATATCTCGTTTAGCAAAAAAACCTAAGTTGTTATATAGCTTGCTTGCTTCCATCTGCAATCTTTCACCTCCGCTATGTCTTACATCTATGCATGTTTTACTATAATTCCACTAATAAATCGCTAAACGTCTTACGGTTTTACATCTTTGTTTAAAGTTTCAATTATGCGGTACTTAGTTTGTAATCGTCTTCTTTCAGCACTAATACTTGCGCGTCGAGTAATCGTTTGTATGCATGTGTATGTTATGTGTGTTATGTGTAATACAAAATATAACAAAGACAGCTCAAATAATCAATAAATTTTATGTAGTGTAGAGATGAGAAGAGACCTCATTCGTCCGAATCGATAAATTTTGCATTTTCATATCACAATTAATATCATTTTTTTTGTTTGCTTGTTTATAATATACTCTTTTGTGTGTATCAATGTGCGATTGGAGGCAGTCGGATGATGGCTTGACATTTTTCGAAACATGTATGTACAAGTGCAACGACCTGTCCTCGCAATCGTGCAATCGTAGAATTCGCAGAATGAATACCAAGCGCACGCGTGCGCCGCAGTGAATAAATTAAGTTAAATAAAATAATATTGAATTTACAAACACATAGTTTAGTACTTAGAGAATAATAGAAACGAACGAATTAGTCTTTAGCACAGTTTTCTTCTTTCACGTCTGGTTTGTCGTTCGGCTGGCTGACGGAGGCGGGCGGCTTCGAGCTGCCACTCGACGACTGGTTGGAAGAATTCACGCCGCCGTCGTTCAGTTTTGATTCTTCTGCTTTGTCGGATTGAGTATTCATATTTCCGCCTGTAAATTCGCCAAAATCAATAAAAACATCCCCAACACACACACACACACACACACACACACACACACACAGAAAAACATGTAGAAAACAAACAAAAACGTGTACAAAACAAACTTTAAACCAGAATAAATTTCCTCACACAGAAATTGATTCCAATTCAACGTGTAAATAATAAAAAAGAAAAATGTGTAGACCTGATCTGTGTTTCGTTTGGTAATTGTTAGTGTACCAACCTTGGGACCCATAATATCGGCCGCCGCCGCCGCCGCCGCCGCCGCCGCCAGACGAACGATTGTTGGAATTGTTATTCATACGGTGCGGTTTCTGATTGGGATTGCCAGAGTTATTCTGCACGTTGCTCATCTGGCTCTGGTAGTTACCGGCGGGGCGCTGAATGGGCGTCGGGTATCTGGTCTGTAACAGTCAATGCTAGTACATTGTGTTGTTTGATGATTTCAGCGTGTTCGCAGAACAAACACAAACAAATCTCAAGCCTACCTGCTGTCCGCCCTGTTGACTGGACATGCCACCATACATGTATTTGCTGTGTGCGGTCGGACTGGGTTGTGGGGGTGGTTGTTTCATCTGCTGGCGTGATTTGGGCGAAGCAATCTGAGATCCTGCAAAGAAATTTATCATTGAATGACCTTGAAATTACTTTTTGTTGTTAAATATTACTTACCAGAGTTAAAAAACCGAAGATAAAACTTCCTGTTGACTTCCGGGACTCTTCAACTGCTGCCGGCCTTGATCACCAATCTGATTCTTCATAAACTGCGGGTTTTGAATACTCGCCGAGCGGTATTGTGACATGGCCGCCGCAGCCAGCTGCATCTGCTGGCCACTCAAATACGGCGTGGGATAATTCTGCATTCCAGCGTTCGTGTGCGACTGATTGTGCGTGGGGAAAACGCTCTGCTGCAGCCCGAACCCGGCCTGATGCTGTTGCATCTGCGAAGGTAAACTCGAACTGCCTGGTCCTTGGAAGTACCCAGTCTGTCCACCCGTCGAGCCGGAATAAAACGACGAAGATGGCTGCAGACCCGAAGGTTGCAAACCAGGCACGACATTATTCTGCACCCCGGGTCCCCGTTGAATCACCCCGGCGGTCTGCATATAATTCGCGGTAATTGTCGGATCAAACGGTATGTACACCTGTTGACCCTGTTGTGATTGTTGCTGGTATGCCTGCCCTACACCGCCAGCCTTGGTACCAATCGCGCTTATCTGCTGATTGCTCGGCTTGACAGACGGCGACATCAGCGAATTCGACGTTGAAGAAATCAACACAGTGGTTGGATTATTCAACTGTTGATTCTGTCCGAATGGTCCTGTATTCGGCATGCGGTAATTATTCATATTCTGATACAAATCCGGTTGTTGATTGGGCGGGGCATGCGGTTGCGCAGTGGGCAGATACATCGATTGTGAATACGGGCTGGATCCAGTCTGCCCGAGACCAAACGAGTACTGCGAATACTGCGAGCGTCCCTGATTGTTCATCACCTGCGACGTGTCAAGCTGGAACGGCGCATACAACCCGGTCTGTTGCAGTGGCTGCGTGGAATAATTCAACACATTGGGAGGAGATGGTGCTGGTATACCACCGTATTGATTACTACCCAGTCCAGTCTGATAGCTGATATGCCCACTGGCGGTGTACTGCTGTGGAGGTTGGCCTAATCCACCCATGACTGGTTGTATTGGTGGCGGGGAAGACAACGCATGACCCATGAGTGCAGGCCCCACAATATTGGAATGTGGTTGATGTCCACCGCCCACCTGCCCACCACCGCCAGCCACTTGCTGTGTGGGTTTCACTTTGCACACATTCGTCGTGCTATTCGTCGCATTGGGCGATGAATTATAAACATCATGGTTGTCATCCGGTACCTCTGAACCTTTACTGAACGCTGTGTTGGCATCCATCGTACTGGAATCAGTCACGAATGAAGAAGCAAATGAATCATCATTTACATCCATGACATTCGGTATGTTCTCCCAAACCTTCTTCACCGACTGTATCTTCATATTCAACGCGTCAGCTGTGAGGATATTATTGCTGGTATTCATGTTGGACCTGGATAAACTCATCTTTGAAGATTTCTCTTCAGTAATCTGAGAGATTTCAGACTCCAAAAAGTCCAACTTCATATCAGCTGAATCTTCCTTGTTATTAAACAATTGCAGCTGGATATCTGTCTTATCTTTACCTAACAAATCACCAATGGGTTTGTTATAAGGTATACCATCCATACCATCCTCCATTTTACGTTGTTTATCATTCCTGTTACCTCCACGCGCCCCGGTGCAGATTTATAATTGGTATTCTCGAAAATAATCGTAGTCAAGGGTTTCGACCCATCCAGGACTGTTTTATCATCACTGGCACCAGGATGATGCAATGCAGCCTCCAGGGTTGCTTTGCACTCCATGCCCACAACCAAATCATGATTCTGATCAACGCGCATTTGTTGCGAGAGTGGTTTATCCCACGCGTTGGAATTGATCGAGGTGCTACCTACATGCAGGCCATCCTTGAGGCCACCGTACATGTGATTGGGGTTGTTGATTTTGATGTCGTCGCATATACCCTGTTGCATTTGCGCCTTCTGCATGCGATTGTGCTCCTTGGCTTTGGCGAACCGCGGCGGGAGTGTCTTATTCTGTCGATTGCGATCAAACTGACCCTTGTTTTGTGACTGCGACTGTGTCTGCGGCATATTCGGAGGCGGATTGATGGGTGTAGCCATGAGTGATGGAATGTTGGCTATGTTACTGACCTGTTGCGGCGATGGACCCATTTTGACACTGCGATCCGAAGGCTTTTTAATATCTTTTTCTGGTTTGGATATTATACCTCCGGACATCTTGGGTTTCTCTTCCTTTTCTCGACGATTTTGCGGTCACTCCTGTCGGTTTTTTTACTCTTCACCTCCTGGAACCCATCATCTACTACCTCACCATCTAGAATCTCTACTTCTTTTAGGGTGATATCAGCAATAGCTGATGATAAAGTGTTATCCTTATCTTTACCATCCTTATCCTTTGAAGATAGATTTCGTGATGAGGGTAGATTACCGCCGATATTGGCGTTCTGGCGGTGTGGACCACCAAAGCCGCGTTTATCAACAGGTGGCATTTGTCTTGGAGCTGTATTACCCCCACCACCTCCACTTCCACCACCGCCACGCGCTCTGGACATACCTTGCATAGACCCACTCCTCTGAGAATTCTTCGATTTCCTACCATCAACATCCGAATTATCAGAGACATCCCCGTCTTGCTTAGGTTTCTTCCTGGGATCAATCTTCTTGCGATTTTTATCCTCGGATTTATCTTCAGGAGCATCATCGTGTTTCCTATCCTTCTCGTCGATATTCGAAAATGGGCTCTTTGCAGGCGGTCCATAAGTATCCACCCGTTTAGACCCTCCCCGACTACCTCTGAAACTACTCCCGGATAAAGAAGCCCCCCTGCCATGACGAGAGGGTTCACCCCGCGGTACAAAATGATTCTTATCCATTTTACCACGATCCCTATTGTCACGATCCAGTGGTTGTTGTTTCTCCGTGCTGCGCGCTTCTTTATTCCTCTCGTCCTTCTCCAATTTCTTTGAACTCTTCGGACTGGGTCCATTCTCCAGCATAACTTGATCATCAGCTGATCCCTCCGACTCAGTCATATCTTGTCCCTTGGTCCGTAAACCCCAGCGCCTCCACCGACACCACCACGTGGATTCCTCGGCAACGGTGCAGTGTTCTTTTATTATTCGACCAGGGTTCCGGTACACTTGAACATTACCCGACCAGCCCTGATTGCGACTACCCTGCGAATCAGACCTACCACGTTTCTTATCTTCTTTATTCTTCTCATCCTCCTCATCGCGTTTTTCATCCTTCATCAACATGCCAGCCTTGAGGAGTTCCTTCTCCACCGCTGGTGGGATGGAATCCGCCCACGCCTTTGGCTCATCAATACTGTCCTTTTCATAATACTCCACGAATCATTATCGTCTTCAGGCTTCTCCAATTTTTATTCAGACTCTGGTCGCCCATGGCGCCTCGCTTCAACTGGGTGAGATTACGCTTCTCACTGCGCAAATCATCCGCTTCAATCTTCTCCTTTGTGATGGGTCCTGGTACGACCATACGGTGTTCCTTCTTCTTTTCTTCAATGGGCTCCTCGGCCCATGAGGTATACTCCTCGGTTCGGAATGACGTGCTGAATCACGAGATTCTCTCGACGTGCGCGAATCGCGACTATCAGGCCGCTGCGGACGTTTATCCCCATGCCACTCATCACTACTCTGTCGACTGATGGTCATACCATCAAAGTTCGACTCTTTATCATCTCCCGGCGAACATCCCGACGCATTTTATCATCTTCCTTCGGTTTGAAGTCGTAATCTTCGTAGGATTTCCTCGACGAATCGTACCTGTGCGATACCTGCGAGCGATAGTTATCATCCTGGCGTCGGTATCGATCCTCAGGGTCCTTGTCGTCGTCTCTAGACTTACGATTGCTAGGACTCGTGCGACTCCCACCCTGAGACCATCTGTTATCGTACTGGAAGGAGCTCTGCGCGTTGAGTTGCTGCTGCCGTTGGAATCTCGGCGGTAGGTCATTCTGGAACTGTTTGGAGAAGCTGCTGTGTTGCGTTGTTTGCGTCGCGCCTCCAGAAGGTTGTTCCTTTTCAACGCTGCGCTCTGTACGCGAGTCTTTCCGGCCGAAATTGGCACGACCCTCGATTTGTGTGAGATGTTTAAAATCGGTGGACGTGGAAGTCTTGTGCTTCAAGTCCTCGGCGTCTGGCTTCGGACGCATGACAACCACAACCTCCTTCTCACGTTCCCACTCGGGTAGAAGAATCGGGACAGGAGCGATTGTCTGCGGCGGCACTGATGCGGGATTAATCGTTCCGCAATTGTCGTCAACGTCCTTGTCGCGTTTGCTTTTATCAATGCGCTCGTTGAGTTCCTGCAGCTTTTTGGCGGCCGCCTGACGCGTCTCGAGGAACTTCTTCTCCTCTTCCTCCTTGCGCTGCTTGGCGCGTTCGACAGCGTGCGCAATCTCTTGCTGCTGCCGGCGCCGTTGCGCCGAGAATTCATCCTCCTCGTGTCGACTGCGAGGCTGTGGCTTCTGCTGCGGTTTCGGGTCGTTTTCCATTAGATGAGTGTCAGTCTTGTCGCGCATACTGCGGCGCATGTCCTTGGCTTCCTTGAGCTCGTCGTCGCTGAACGCGAGTTTTTGGTTGTAGTCAATATCGTCGTTGATCGCCCAGCCCATGTCACCGGTGAGGTTGTCCATGCCGCTGAGGTCCTCTTCTTTGATGATGGGGCGATGCGCAAGCTCCTCCGGGTCGTTGCTGCCGCCCCGGTGGCGCGGATCTTGTCTGGATCGCGCTGGCGCTTGCTGCGTGTGTTGCTGCTGCTGCTGCTGTTGGAGCATAGCCGCACCGCCATGACCGTTCGCCGGATAATTTCCGCCGCCCGCTCGATACATAAAATTGGGCACGAAGCCGCGCACCTGCGGCGGCAGGGGCGGGCCGCCCGGGGCCGAATGCTGCGCTCCGACACCGGGGACTGCCGAGCTGTCGGCGGGCACGCGTGCTCCGCCGCCCTGCAGCCATGAACCCTCCGTTTGCGGACGCAGGCTTAGCCCGGGCGCGTACCCCCCGGTGTCGGTAGCGGCGCGTGGTTGCCCGCCATCGCCAGCGGACAGGCTGGGGAACTCGTGCTGGAATTGCGGGCTCTGGTATGGTGGCGGATGGGCCGCGTTTGGATCGCTGCCGATCATCACCGAGCTCCATGACTTGTCGAGATTTGTGGCAGGACTGGCAGAAGATTGTGGATGCTGCGGCGGTGGCTGTTTGCCACCGACTCCTGCGCTCCCAGCGGGCTGAATTGTCGTCGTCACAGGTAAAGCAATCGCAGCTTGGTGTGCGCTCAGCGCTGGCCCGGCTATTGCTATCGGTGCGTTCGCATTCACATTGTTTGATGTTGCCTGAACCTACATCCAAACAACACACATTCATAATAAAACAACAACCAAAATAAAATAAAACACACAATAAAATACATACTGTAGTAGTGGTGGATGTCTGAACTGTACTCTCCTGTTTGCCCCATCCTGAACCATTCGACGGTACCAAAGAAACCGCGGTGTCCGTGCCGCTGTGTTCAGACTTCAGTGACGGGAGATTCGCGGGCGGGCGACGAGTGTTGGGGACCTTACCCAAGCTTTGCATGCCATGTTTCTGAGATAGTGTGCTCTTCTGCTGCTTATTCTCTGATGATTCCCCCTAAAAACCACCAGAAACCATCAAATAAACCACCAAATCATTAAAATCAACAAGAATTCAATACCGAATCCATTTCTGGTTGTTATTTTTCGTTTGATTTATAAAAAACAGTATACTTTTGACGCTTTTGACAGTCGCGTGAAATGTTAAATTGATGACTTACCAAGCTAACCCTGTACAACTTGTTAATATCCAATACTTGATACTTGGCCTTTTCCTTCTCGCCCTTGGAGGCCAACCCTGGCAGAGTAGACATGCTGTCTGCACACAACCATTTAGATCCTCAGGACCCAATGAACGAACCGTTATCCTGGAAAAACGAACGCACGCAAACACTTTTAATAATCACGCCACTCAATTGACATCGGTCACACAAATATCAACGAATTATACTCCGCGTAAACAACCAACGCACGTCAATTGCACTCTGCCCAACCCTAAGATTAGGAACTATTCACGGCCGGAATTAACGCACGATTTGTTTCGGCTGTTCGGTGTTGGACGAGATCAGCTAACGGTAAAAAGCGCTACACCGCTACAAAAACATCGGCGGACCCGGGAAAAATTACGAAACCCGTTCGCGCTTTGTGAAAATCGCCTATTACCTTGGTCCGTCCAAATGGGTGAATCGCAAACGACGACGAATTAACTCCGTGCGGCTGCACGTCGGACGGATGATCACAGATTTATCTATCGGATTACGCGCTAGCGTTACTCGTAATTCGCTTGGTTTGTTTTTCAAAATGGCGCACCGCCGAAGAAACGGCAGATCTGATCAATACTGTGACGTCACCAACTATGCGAACGCGGCAGACGCTTTGCGCGCGCGCGTCGGTTCACAGCGCCAGCGCGCGTGGTTGCCCTGAACTTTCACAGACACTGTTGCCAATAATTACCTACATAAAACACACAATTAGCACTTAATTCAACTAAATTAATCATTAAAACGCATTAATCAAGTAAAACTAAGTTAATATTACAGATTAAAACAACCAATTCCACCTTAAACTATTAAAATGCAAAGAAAAATGTTTAAATAGCAGCGCTGTTTTACAACGGCGAAATTTAGAACTAAATCAAAAACTTCGTATTACTTCGGTAAATTGGCTGTCAAAATGTTTGAAAATTCCCGACTTGTCTATCGAATATAAAAATATATTTTGTTTTGTTTCACAACCCTTAAAAACGCCACACAACTTGTGCGCTTAGATAAAATTTAAAATTTAGTAAATACAAAAATACTCTGTTTCGTCAATCACACTCATTCTTCGCGTGCATGGAAATGCTGCATAATCTTATAACGTGTCGTTTCATCCCTCTGAACATCTTCGCCATAATAACTATCCAACTGCTTACAATGCTCCATCATTGCACCCCAACATTTGTCATCATATGCTAACACATGCGGATTGCCAACAATAATTAATTTCGCCTGCGCACGTGTGATAGCCACATTAAATCTCTAAAAAACAAAAAATAAAAACAATCCTATAAAAAAATACACAAAAAATACCCTTTCATGCTTGACGAAACCCAAATCGTACTTTTTATCGTACAATAACAGATCACTTTGGGCGCGCACGGTGGAAATAATGATAATACGACGTTCGCCGCCCTGAAACGCTTCAGTAGTGCCCACTTGAATGTCATCCCTGCCTTGCGCGTTCAATTTATTACGGATTTGACACACCTGGCGGATATACGGCGCAATAACACCGATATCACTGCCGATAACACGCACATTTGTTAAATTTAACATGCGATCGATGAGTTTCAACACCATATCAATTTCAATCTCGTTGTAGTAACTCGGCGAATGTCCTTGACGTTGTTCTTTACTCAGCAGACCAATAAACTCCACTGCTGCACCTTTACGCATCTTTTTCTTCTTGTTTTTACTCTGTAGGACTAATCCAGCGATGGACATGTTGGAAATTTCATCGTTATGAATATTAAACTAAAAAACAAAGAAAAAAATCAAAAATAATAAAAAATAAATAAATAATTATTTACTTGGAGTGAATCTCCATAGAATAACTTATTAGGCACTGTTACGATGTCCGCGTGCGATCTGTAATTGTGCACCAACATCGTGATAAAATCATTGTTGAATTCCAGAGGTCTCTGGCGTGTAGGACTATACAACTCGATTGTTTCCATTAGCCTGTCAAGTAGAGACTTCGCCAGGCCATGCCGAGCGGATGGCACACCGATAACAGGGCCCAATTGACGCGGATCACCAGCAAGGACAATCGGCATGCCGGGAGCAAGCAAACCAATGGGTATATCACACTCTGGTTCGGTAGTTTGCGCCGCTTCGTCAATAAACAACATATCCGGCACATAACTACCAGAAAATCTTTAAAAAACACATGAAAATAAAACATAACCTTAAATTTTAAACCGTGTAACTTACTTTCCGATCAAATGCAGCGTGGAAATGACGATTGTGTACGATTTTAAGTCACTGGGCTTCACCATATAGAATTCCCCGCCGTCTATGTTGCTGAAATACTTCACAGCCGTCGGAACATCATTGCTAAAGTAAAAAATAACGAAATTCGCGTTATATGTACATAACCTTGGTTTGACCTTGACATAACCTACATGTTTCTGTTGCAAGTATGCACACGGAACAAATCCTTCTTCTGACGTCCTTTTATTTGGTCGTCTAACTTGAGCGCAAGCATATCACATGCGGCATTTGATGGCGCGCATACCAGAATATTTTTGTTTGGATAATGGCGTTTTATTTGTAAAATCGCCTCGACCAAAGTGACAGTTTTACCTGTTCCAGGCGGGCCAAAGATAATATACGGTGCTTTCTGTGAGGTACAGCTGAGGATACTTTCGACAGCGATTAATTGTTGTGGATTCAACGCTATCATTGGATTAAACAAACTTAAAAACAAAAATTAATTTTTTAATAAATTTATAAAAACTTACTCTTCAGGTCCCAAAGAACGACGTTGCACGCGGTTTAACGGACGTACTGGGAATAACGTCGTGTGTAACATTCCATTTTTCACACAAAGATCAACTCCGTTATGCATGCGCTCCAGTTGCAGTCGTGAAAGTAGAAAACTGACATCAAAAAGTGTGTCTGGTAGTATACTCAGGATTGTTAAGAGTCTGAAAGTCTAGATTTATTAAATGTGATTATAAAACATGCATAACCTTACTCTGGCGCTAGATACTCAATGGTCAACTGTTCATCTTCCACCAGTTCGACGACACCTTTATACGCGCGGCGTTCATTCGACAGACGCAGCAGGACCAAGTCTCCCTTCATCACAGACGGGCGTTTTTCAGCCAATCCTGGCACTTTCAAGATGACATTTGAACGAACAACGCGCACGCGCACACGCGTCATGTTATACTGAAGGATTCCCATTAGTTGTGTGCATTCTTCAAGCCACAGCAAACGATGGAAATATTCAGCGTAGTTGGAAATATTCACACCGTTCTCCCACATACGACTGTAAATTTAATCATTTAAAATAGTTTTATATAAAATTTTATATATTTACAGTGTATCCAGGCGATATTGTTGAAGCAAACCGGCTTCTCCTTTGAAAGTTTTAAAACAATGCATGTACACACGGAAATATTCAGATATTATATGAAAATTCTCCAGATATTTGCTGTAAATTTAATAAATTATTAAAATATAATTGATTATAGTTTGAATTTGTTACGGTTGATTAGTAGGTTCCTGTATTTCCATGTTGAGCGGCCATTTTTCATTGCAAAATGGACTCGCTTCCTCCGTATCCTCAACGACAGTGAAATCACCGATTGTTATCTCGACATCTCGATAAAGTACCTTGTAGGCAATTGGATTTGCTGCTGGTTGGACTGTTATCGCGATTGGCAGCGTGTATTTACCCATTGTGAAGTTGTCTTGTTCAAAAGTAAGTAAAAACTTACACTTTTCACCTTTGAAATGTCAAAATTAGCCGACATTTGACAGTAATGTCAAACTTACCATTTTCCAACACAAACTCCAATCTTCTCTTTGGAATGGGATTAAAATCAGTTAAAAAATACTTCTCCAGTGGATGTAAAGCCTGCACAATAATCCATTGTTGATCAGGTCTGTCATTCCTAACCAAAAATTCAAATTCCAACTTGTTTTGCAACTCTTCAAACTTATCACATTGCAACTAAAAAGAAAACACATTAAAACTGTATTAAAATTATGTGTAAAACTTACATTTGTAACATAAACTCCTGTATCTTCAAAATATTGAACTTGAACACCACTCAGATGAGCCAACTGGATTTGTTGATGTACAAAAATCTTATCACAATGCAATTTCAGCTTCCTGCTCACTTCTCTCAACTCCAGATGATAATTCAATCGATGTTGCAGTGAATCCGCGTGTCTTTCAGCGACATCATCATCATGTGGACCACAAATCTCACAAATCTAATCAACACAAACAAAACAAAACATAAATTTAAATTTCAAATCGAAGCAAATTGTGCGTTACCAATGTCCGCATGTTGTAACCAAATCTATATCACGAATGTTGCATCTGTAACACTAGAAAACAATGAGAAACACTAAACACGCGATATTTGAACCATGGAAAATATTTTGCAAGCGCAGCAATGCGATACACAACAATAACCTTAAAACGGTGCGCGGAATGATTCAGAGGGGATTTACTGAGTTATATCGCGGGAATTAATGCTGAGATGGCAAAAACCCGATAACTGAGTGCATTTATATGAAATGCAATAATTAAACGTAGATTCCAAATGAGAAAAGTTAAATATTCCGGGAAGGTGACCTTGACAATTTTGAATTTAGACTGAATAACAATTAAACTATTAAACAGAAGCGAGTCGATACTACGTACCTAACAACTTTCTACGAACACTCATGATCACTGTTTGCATGCAGTATTTATTGATTTTATACATTTTATCAAAATATTTATCATTTTAATTTGGTTTAGATAAATCCATTGTTTAATTGTAGGTTATAATATGTTATTCCCTCATTTCTATCATTTTCACAGTATAAAACAATTGTAGGAGTAAAAAATTGAACGGAAATGATTAATGATAGTCGAGACGGTGATAAGTTTTGTTTTGAAACAACAAAAACAACTTTTTCTATGTTGTTTTCTAAGGAATTTTAGTATGTGTACTTTGTATCTGTCAAAAAAGTGTCAAATGTCGAAAATGGCGACCAATGAAGATTTACTTCTTCGTTTGTGAGTTTATTTATAAAATTAGGTATTTTCGGAGGTAAATAATTGATTGGAATGTTTACAGAGATAAAACTATCATGGGTATTGATCCAAACCGTCCGCACATGAGCAGACATCCTCAATTACATAAAGGAATGAATCCTGTTTTCATGACTATGCGATCAGAGATGCACTATTTGAAGAAGTTAAATATTGAAGTAAATCTAACCCGTATACAGTGGTGGGGGTAATTGCACATCTCCTTATCTACCCCCACTACTTTTTGCAGGTTATCCGCGGGTATAATGTCAAAATAGCGAGGTTAACCTCAAAATATTTCCAGGAACGCCGGCGTAAACTAAAACAGCTCCAAATTCAAGACTTCCTCCAACAGGACAAAGAATTACGCCAAGTTGGGTTGGCATTCATCAATCGCTTTCAGTAACAGCAGACTTTATTGAATATTTCTACATTTTCTTGTATCACAATCAAAATTTGTTCATTATTTGTTCGAAACATCGCATTTCACATGTATTACTCCATTCGCATTACTTCATTCGTTAATCGCGCTATTAATGGCGGCAGAGCATCCGGTTTCAAACCATTCTTCCATTTTGCATTCAAAACCTTTTCTACAATGTTAAAATCACTCAAGTTCTTTGTACCTTCATGTGTATCTGCTTCATCAAACTCCAGTGTGAATATAATCAATAATTTCTCTACAACTGGCGTGACTTGATCACAAATGAAGTGAAATAACATTGCTACTTCCGCCGGTGTCTCTTCTAAGTTTTTCACTAGTAAAACATGCTTTTTTTCGAGTTCTGGTTTGTATTTTGTGATCAATTTGCCGTAATCTTCGATTATTTCGGGCGTGTGCATTAATTCCTGACTGATCTCGGCATAAGCATTGAGATTATTCAGTTTACAAGTGGAATATTCTAGAATTGATGCGATTCGTTCATTGTTTACATCAACTTGTGTGTTTTTTTGCTGAATTAACATGAGGACTGATAGATCTCCATTTTGTATTTCATAAACTGCGGATTTGATTGCTAATTGTTCAGTTTCATTGAATAATTTGCTCAGGGTACATTTTTTTGGTGTCATTTGGTGGCCATCTTGTAAATTTATCAATTTTAAGGTATCTGTGCACATTACACCAATTACGACAGCAAATACAACTAATATTAGTCCAATAACAGAGAATGTCATACTTGATTGTGATTTTCTATTGTTTGAACTTGAATTATTTGTGTTATTTCCCAGTTCAGGTGTTATATTCTTACTTTGAGAGTTTGCGCTGTTGTTTACGGCTTGTGCAGACACATTTTGTTCTTCATTTTCCCATTCATCGCCTGATACTGTTGAATTGAGGCTTGTAGTTGATAAACTGTGATTTTTCTTTATCACTTGCTTATCTGTTGGCCTCTTTGGCGTTGTTCTATCTTCATGTATTCCTTTCCGGGGTGCTGGTTGCTAAAATATGTTTATATTAGTCTTATCTTTACTATTTATTGTGTTTAAATGAATCTTACAAAGTCACTCATCGTCCCTTGAATAAGATGTTGAAGAAACTCTGATGACATGGATTTATACGCTCTTTTTATTTACTTGGACATTGTATTCACTTAAAATTTATCACAGTATTAACTTCTTATCATCGTTTCGTGTACATTTCACGATAAAATTAATTCAAACAAAAAATAAACCTGGATAAATATTGTTGGTTAGATTCATGTGTAGTTCTCAAAATAACCGCTTTAAATTCAAATATAATACATTTTAAACAATTTATCAGCTGTATACTAAATAAAATTGCATAAAAATGTTTTAATTTACTGGTTTTGTATTCTAAATATTAAGTTATTAACAAATATCTAACTTGGCGGGCAGTCTTGACATTCGTGACTGCCAGTCAAGCGTACAGTCTTGCTGATTGTTTTGGTGCAGCTTGCGCGTCTTTCTCTACTTAAGTCACTAAAACCGTGCTTGGACTTGTTGCCGTCCCCCACTTAACTCACAACTTCCTCTCCTTCCTCCCACAAACGCCTGCATACATCTTGCATCTCATTCCAGCGAGTTATGTGAGCTGCAATCGCTTCAAGTTCACAATCACCTTCATTCTTCACATTCATTTCCTCCGTTTTTTTCTTCTTCTGGTTTGGTTTACCTCGCGCCCAGCGCCCTTCAGTCACAGTCAGGGCACACAGGGTGTGTGTTTCACTATGCTACACATGTAATGTGAATTATTACATGCATGTAAGTAATTCTGCACACAATTATCCAAGATATATTTATAACTTTGTTGGTTTTTTAGTAAATAAAGAGGTTTCAAGATGGAGGAAGCTGGTGCCCTGCCTCAAGGGCCTCCAATGAACATTCTTCCACCTACACCAGCTGGCCTGGAGGCTTTGTACACTCTCTGCAGGAAAATATATCCTGATCAGGTCAATCCTCTGCAAGTTACAGCTTTGCTTAAATATTGGTATGAAATTTATGAATTTTTGCTATAAAACATCAAATATTTGAGGTATCTTCATGCCACAATCACTAAATCATAAAGAATTACCTTATTTATGCCTCAAAACATTAATTTTGTGGTAATAATCACAGAAAACAGTAAAAAATCAAAAAAATAGTTGTGTAACCTCAAAATTTTATGTTTTTTGCTTGTAAAATCAACAAAAATAGAGATACACCCATAAAAATTACATAAAACAATCGACAAAATAATATTCTAACTTCCTTCAGCAGAAAAAACATCAAAATCTATAAATATCGCCCTTTTCACCCTTGGTTTATTTTTAGGCTTGGCGGCCCGGACCCTCTCGACTACATTTCCATGTACGCCAATGAAGGAGTACCCGTTGATAACATCCCGCCACATTGGCATTACATAAGCTTCGGTCTTTCTGATCTCCATGGCGATGGACGCGTACATGACCTAAACACTCCTGCAGACGGCACATCCGGTTTCGGTTTTGAGCTTACATTTCGCTTGAAACGTGAACCAGGCGAATCATCACCGCCTACATGGCCTGCAACACTCATGCAATCACTAGCAAAATATGTGTTTCATTCTGGAAACACCCTGTGTGCGGGTGATCATGTCTCATGGCATTGTGCATTAGACAATCACGATTCGCGTATTCAACATATGTTGATGACCAATGACGTGCAGTTGAACACGGCGCAGACGCCATTCGGCAGTGTTGATTTCGTGCAGATTGTTGGCGTTTGCGCGGATGAATTACGCGCTGCACAACAATGGAATGGAATTGGCGTGTTGAACATGCTGAGCAATCTTCCAACGTATGTATTTTTACATATTTTATGTTTATTATAACCTCATTTGATGTTTTTGTAGCTCTGGAGGTCCATGGCATGTAACAGACATGCGCCGTGGTGAAAGTATCTTCGAATTAGACCCGAATGCACACGAAGAACTCGAACGTGGCTTCGAACTTGAAGGTTCTAATTTAAGCGGTGTGAGCGCACGTTGTTCATGGTCAGACGGGCGTGAAAAACGTAAAGATGGTCGAATCACAGAAGAGGAAAGCGAGCAGATCAAAACAGCGCTGCAGAAAGGCCTGCAATCAAGTAATATCTCGAATAATAAATGTGACGATGTTCGTGAATCGTCCGCCATGTTAGAATCCACTGAATTGTTACACGTTAAGAAACTGGATGGTATTCATCTTGTTTTTAACCTGGAAGCAGGCAGTTTACTTCCGCTGGCGATACGTGGACGTGTCAAACACGGCAGACATTTTACTTTCAAGTCTGTGCTTGGCGATACAGCGATTACTCTGGTTGCGCATTCAGTGACTGGAACTCTGGTTGATTTAGACAATCCGTTTGTTGCGCAAGGCAGCTGGTTACAGGTGCTTATTCCTGATGATCTCGCGCAGGATATGGCGGTGACTTTTCAGGTACTAGCGACGCCGGAAGCGCTGAGTTTGCCGAAGACTTTCACATGGCCTGATCGCAACCTGTCAATCACGATTGTTGCGGATAAGATTTAAGCTTTGACATGATTTTTGTACATTTTACACTAAGAAATTATTTATTATACTAACGAATTATGTAAACGACTAAATAAACATTTGTATTACGTAGGTTTTATATAAATAAACAGAAAAAACAATGAAATTGATTTTCTTGTCCTGTTTGACTGACAGTCTGACTGTGGCTGAATTACAAGTTATGCAACTTTATTTTCACGTCAAATTTTGCACATTTTCAAGTGGAAACTTGTTTAATATTGTAAATAAATATACACACACCAAAATAAATATTTGTATCATGTTTAATTTGCACAAATAAAGATAAAAACCAAATATTTTGTAGACTGTTTGACTGACAGTCGGACTGTGGATGAATTATATGTTATGCAACTTCATTTACACGTCAAATTTTGCACATTTTATACCAGAAATTAGTTTATTAGTCTAAATAAATATATACACGCCAAAATAAATATTTGTATCATGTTTAGTTTGTACAAATAAAGATAAAAACCTTTGTTTATGTTTAGACTGTTTGACTGACAGTCTGCATTGCGCTGCCCTCTACTAAAACTTGCATTTAACTTATGCAACTTTGTATACACTGGGAGTTGCGCTCATGTTGGTGCAAAGTGAGTAAAAATGAGTTAAGTAATGTACATAATGTAGTTATGTGCGCTTAGTGTGCTTCGCGATAACAAGTTTTCACTATTTTGCATCGATTTCGTGCAAATAATGTACGCGCACACTCGGCGTCATGGACGATGATCAAGTAATCCACTCTGGTATCCTGCTCACACAACCAAACAGCAAATTAATCCTAAAAGTAAGTGAAATATTCATATTCATCAAGACTTATGTCATGTATACAACAGACTGATTTTATTTGTTTTTCTTTTTATTTCTTATAGAAAACATGGCAACCAAAATTCTGTATGCTTTACAAAGCGAGCAAATCCGGCGTGGAGCGCATGGAAATCTACGATGACATTGATGAGGCACGAAAAGGCAGCCAGGGAAAAATAATCACCTTAAAAGATTGCGTCAAAGTTTCCCGTAAAAGCTCCACATACTTTACTATTGTAACCAAGTCTGGTTTCTATGAATTCGGCACATGTACTGAACAGTGTCTGCACGAATGGGTGAATGCATTGCAAATGGTGGCATTCAGAGACAACTCATCCAAGATCACAACCCTTGTGGAAGATAATGATTTGTACTGTTCGACAGGCGAAGGGATTTTCAGCGTGCGTTTGGTTGAAACCGAAGCATCAATTCGGTGCAATTTATTACAGAAAATCTATGTTTTGGCTCTGACTCCAATTGCTGTTCAATTGAGGGAAGCAGGTGATAATTCACTGCTGTATACATGGCCGTATCAGTTTATCAGGCGGTATGGCTACAGCAGTGGAAAGTTTACATTTGAAGCCGGCCGGAAATGTGACTCAGGCGAAGGGAAATTCCTTTTAGAACATTCCAATGAACAGGAAATATTTCGGTGAGTCATTTAGCAGCTAAATTCATTATTTATTTATGTGTTTGATAAAGAAATGCGGTTTATTTAGTTATATTTACATTTTCTGAGCGTTGTTAGTGGCGCCCTCTGTGACAAGATTAAGTATTACCACCGCCATCTTGTTTGTTTAAAGATACATCACAATGAAGATGAAATCAATGAAGAAACTATTAAAAACCGACTCGGCAAGCAGTCTGGAATGCGGAGATAAACAATTCCAAGCTGTTTTGAACATGGAAGCACGCAGTCGGAGTCCATTACCACCATCACCGACAACTTCAACCTCTCTGCAAGATGTCGAACAGTTTTCCCAAGATGTTTCCGAAAAACTACAAATAAAAGCACCGCAGAAACCTCCCCGAAAGAAACTACCGCCATCTACATCATCATCAACGCAACAACTATTACAATCACACTCGGATGTTGATTATGAATTTGTTTCCAAGTACGACGAAGTTGAAATCCGTGATAAAGCATGGCAGACACTCGGAACAGACGAAGTCAAACACAACGAACACATTGAGGACAACTACGAAGAAGATTACATGTCGTGGGGATCGAAAATGTTCAGCGCAGGCACAGCGAGTGTTTCCACAGCGTCAAAAGTAATCACCGCGCCGGAGGATGATGATCCAGAGAGTTATGACAAGTTAAACTTCTTTGGATCATCGGGAAAGTTACACCTTTCCGGTTATAAACAGGTACGGCCCAATCCGAACGCACCGCCGGCGACACCCGCCTTCAATGAGTATGATGAAGTGCATACTTTCGAAAGTATTCGCCCGGCGGACGATTCGCACTTGGGTTATGCGGTTATACGCAAAAAAGAACCGCAGGTGAGTCACAAGTCGTTTAATGACACCGAGTACGCGGTTATTAGCAAACCAAAAAGAGTCTAGTCGTTTATTTACGTACTCGCCAACGACTTGGATGCATTTCTGATGATGACGGTGCTGTTTTTATTTGTGCCAATGAAATTGACATGAAATATTGGTCAATGTATGTTTTAATCGTTGAAATAAGTGATAACAAGTCTAGAATATGTCAAAATGTGACATAACCTTAAAATTTAACTATTCTAGACTTAATTATCACAAATATGACAAGAAATTTACCAATTTTAACTATTTTATCTTATTTTATAAGAAATTACCGCAGGATTTTAAAATATTCTTCATAAACAAGTGCCTTGAATCAATTTTTAACTGTTTTTGACAGATTTTTGACATTTGACAGTGGAAACTGTTCCAAATTGAAGCAGAATGATTGCAATGAAGTGCCATTAGGATTTTAAGCATGAAACGCGTATATGTTTGATAGAAATTTGTACTTTATTACAATTTATATTTTATTACAACTTGTTTCCACTCTGTTCACCTTCAGAAGTTGTGATAAACTCCTGACTAGTGTCACCTACACTTAACCTTCTCACAACTTCGCCCTTTTCAGCCAGAATCTCCTCAATATTCCTCTTGCCATTCAGATCTGTGAACCAGTTGAGATTATCAGCAATCAAGTGATGATTCTCACATCCTTTGCATGTTACAATGACTACACCCTTTTGATATGCAAGTTTTGAAATGTGGTGCATATTTTTGGTGTTACACTTCTTACAAGTGTAGATCAACTGCATTTTACCCTCTAGTTTACCCAGGGGTACTTTTTCAGTTAGTCTGAGGGGTGTTACAGGGTCCAGGCTGGAAATTTCCGGCTTTTCTGGTTGATTTTGTTTTGTCTCCCATAAATTTTGTGATGTGTGCAGAGTTTTTACAAAATTAACACGTAAATTGTTTGTTTGAGTAGGCATTCTTAAACTGGTACTTGCTATTCTTTCTAGTGTAACTAAAACACGTCTTAAAGCCATTTTATTGTTAATATTCTTTGACCCTTTTGTTATTTGCTTCGTAAAGGACAAATAAGTAACTTTAAGGTTAAATTTTTAAAATGTGCGCATCATGCGTTTCAATATACACAAAACAACACTTAATAATTAAAAATATTATTAAAATTTACTAATTTAAATAATTATTAAGTGTTTACCGTGTTATTTTGTGAATATTTAAACAAATGTTTAAATTTTTCAGGTGTATGTTGGGTTGCGTGTCGTTTGTTTCTCGCTTGTCACTCATTCCACACTTGAAGATTATGTTGGTTATGTGCTCGCTGCATTTTTCGTTTATATTTGGGTCGCGAGCGTTTCTCTTCGGTGCGGTATTAAATAAAATGTCGCAATCGTAGTGGCCGCGTGCGCGTGTGTTAAATGAGAGCACATCGAAAATGAATCTGTGTTGAAGCCGAAGAGATCGAATCTTCTCTGCGCGTTGAAATGGACGCCGAAAGCGCAGACTGCAAATTGTCGTGGTCGGAGCTGAAGAATGTCGTCACCGATTTACGTCGGCAATTATCCAGCCTGTCGACGATGGTGCCGACGAATGTATCCTTCCGACAGCTACACGACGGCCGCACACGTATTTACTTTCTCAGCACGCCGCAGAACGGCTGGGAGAGCACACTGCTCTTCGCCGACGTACCAAACGAAAACCCGAATGCATCACTCACGCTGCAATGGCACTGCGTGATCGAATCCAACTTTCCGACGGTCTCAGCATCCAGTAGATACTCTAGAGAAGAACAATTGTTATGGGAACGTAAACGACTTGCCACCTGGGGCATAAACTGGTATGAAATTCACTCAGCGTCCGGAAAAATTGTTTTTCCAGCCAACAGCAGCTTATTTCAATGCATAGACAACGGTTATTCAGTAAGTAATGAATATTTTTATAAAAAATATCATATTTTAGTGATTAATTCACAGGCCGGTCCATTATTTCCAACTAAACTTCGAATATCCACCGCGTCAGGCGCAAAACTCAACCCGCAAATATGCCCCTCGAATCCTGATCTGGTTGCCTACATTTGCAACCAAGACATTTGGGTTGCCCACACTGTTTCCGGCTGCAATGAGCGTTTAACCTACGCGCACAAAGGCGGACGTAACCTAGCGGATGATCCACTCTGCGCAGGCGTGCCATCTTATGTCATGCAGGAAGAATTCAGCCGGTATCAAGGATACTGGTGGCAACCGACATGCGCATTAGGTGTATATCGTATCCTGTACGAAGAAATCGACGACGGCGACGTGAAAATCTTCTGTTTTCCATCGTCACAGTCCGATCCCAGCGGCGAAGTGGAAGAGTTTCGCTTCCCACGCGCCGGCTGCGCCAATTCAAAGAGCTACCTGAAGTTAATCGAGTTCCGAATCAGTGATACACAACAAATCACTGATATTGTCATGTTAGAATTACAATTTAGCGTGAACACATTATTCCCATGGACGGAGTACATCGTACGCGCTGGATGGACACCAGATTCCGAATATATTTGGGTACAGCTGCTGGACAGGCGACAAAAACACCTTGAATTGGTCCTGTTGTCACTTAGTAATTTCACAGAGGTGTTACCCATGTACGATGAAGGCACCAATTCGGATATTGGTAATCCAATGGTGCAAGTGAGTAAATTTTAGTGTTTTTTAGGGTTTTTAGTAATTTTTCTGGTGGAATTTGCAGGTTATCTACGCGGAAGAGTCGTGCGCATGGGTGAACGTCCATGACTTGCTTGTCTTCCTTCCGGGAGCTTCAGATAACCAGGTACAGTTTATTTGGGCCAGTGAGGAGACTGGTTTCCGGCATTTGTACCTGGTCACAGCGCAACTCATGCCCTATACAAATGGCATCTCCGAACCAATGGATCATGTTTCGCTGCATCCGAAATTGTTACAAAAGGTGGCGCTGACGCATGGTGATTGGGAGGTGTTGGCGCAGGACATCTGGGTGGATGTGGAACGCGAAGTTGTGTACTTTATGGGTTTACGTGAGACTGTCCTAGAGAAACATCTCTATGTTGTCTCATTACGTCGACCCGGTGAGGTTAGGTTACTCACACGCACCGGGTATTCCTACCAGTGTGATTTCAACGATGAATGCTCCATGCTGGTGACGGTTTATAGTAATATCGAGAATATCCCTGCGTGTCAGGTGTTTAAGGTGACTCACACTGACTGGACGGTTGAAGGTGTGCAACTCACCCCGTTGGGATACCTTCTTGAATCCGGGCCGCCATTGAATAAGAAATACTGCCCGGATTTGTTCACGCACACGATCGAATCGGGGCACACCCTGTATGCGATGGTTTTCAAACCGCATGGGTTCCAGCAAGGTAAACAATACCCGACTATACTGAATGTCTACGGTGGGCCTGAGGTGCAGTTGGTTTCGAATGCGTTTAAAGGTATGCGACAGTTGCGTATGCATATGTTAGCGGCGCGTGGATATTGCGTGGTGGCGATTGATTCACGAGGTTCGCAACATCGCGGTATAGAGTTTGAGAGTTATCTGCGTGGGCGGATGGGTACGGTTGAGTTGGTGGATCAAGTCGAGGTGCTCAAATGGCTGGCGAGTAGTTTAGGTTATGTTGATTTACGCCGCGTGGCGATACATGGCTGGTCGTATGGAGGTTATCTCAGCCTGATGGGACTTGTGCAACATCCAGACGTGTTTAAACTGGCGATTGCTGGCGCACCGGTCACCAACTGGATGTTGTATGATACAGGCTACACGGAGCGATATATGGATCTCCCTGAGAATAATCAGCAAGGGTATGATGAAGGCTCAGTGTTGAATTACATCAATAAATTCCCCGAAGAGTGAGTATTTGTGTATTTAACATAGGCAACCAAACATACATGTTTTTATGTCAACAGGGAAAATCGATTGTTGATTATTCATGGATTAATCGATGAAAACGTGCACTTTTATCACACTAGTCAACTGATAAACAGCATGGTGAAGGCCGGTAAGCCGTATCAGTTGCAAATCTATCCGAATGAAAGGCACTCGCTGCGCCATCTGGACGCGAGCAAACACTACGAGACGACGCTGCTGTCGTTCCTGCAGAATCATCTCTAACCGACGCCATGTTCATATACATAGTTGACGATACGAAGATTTAGCGTTAATTTATTAAACAAATGACGATATATATACAAACAATATGTATAAATATGTAAGAAACCTAATTTAACTATAAGCAAGCGAGACTATTTTGCCAGTTTTGTTACTACTGCGCACATTTCGTGAATATCCGTAGAAGACTGTCGTCTTGTTTCAAAACGTCCATTATCGAGTGTATCCGGTGCATTGTAAAGTCTTCACTATTATTGTTAACCTCTTTTGAATTATCACCGATGATACTAGCGAGGTTTTCTTGTTTAAGGTAATTTATCGGTTGTTCTGTGGAGGATTCAACTTTTATTACTGATGATTTCTTTTTGTAGATGCTCCATGGCTTGGACGGCTTGTAAACCTCTTCGAAAACCTTCGCCACGCGCTCAAAGTTGATTTCCGGAAAGTCCCGACTGATTTCCGATGGCGGATCGATCATAACCTGCTGCGTGGGGAATTCCTCGTCGACTGTATCGATCGGCGTGACGACATTCAGCGATTTCTTCAGTTTGCCACTGCGTGTGGTGATCAACTCCATGGAATCAACGTGTTGACTGATTGTTGACAACATACCTTTACAGGATAACTTCCTATCCTGGGAATTTTTTGGTTTTGAGCATCGAGATGCCGATGTTCTTGCTTTGGTTTTATTCTGTGTCTTTGCCAGTTTGGTCAACTTCAACGTCACTTCCGAGTAAGTACCTTTTAATAATTCACTCGGATATTTCGTGATTCTGCGTGGACCTAACTTGTTTATTTTTATCGTTGCGGTGGAAGGTGCAGGAATAAGGTTAATTTCAATTTCATCCGGGTCTTCCGTGGATAACAACAAAGAAGTGCCGAGTTTTTCTTTCATTAACATGACTGAATCAGTAGTTGCTAGTAGCGCGACACCAGATGGCGTGAGTGAACTAGGCGCGGACGTTTGTGAATGTGGGGTTAGGAAAGACTTCGGTAATAAAACTGATTCATTCGTCGTGCGTAAACCGTCATATTCTGTTTCAATTATATGCCTGACAAAAGCCACACTACTGACTTGTTCAGTACTTATTTGTCCAACATGGCCGCTATACTCACGCTCACCATGATCAGATTCATGAGAAATCGCTGCTGTTTCGCGTTCATTCACATCTTGTATCAATGTTATAAGATCAGCGACACTTTTACTCCAGAGGGCGTTCGATGATCGCTTCAGAGGACAATCCTCCTGCGTTAAACAATTTCGAAAGTCTTCACGTACGTATACTCTATTCGCATAAGTCATAGCAAATAATTCCTCATCACCTTCTTTAGGTGTCGGTGGATCCGGTTCATTCAAGCAAGTATTATCTTTATGCATCGGTGGAGGTTCAGTTGAAGATTCCTGTGAGACTTTCCGCCATGGCATAATCATCCGTGCAGGTCGGCCATCTTGTTTCGGTGATTTTAACAACGCTTGTGTAATTTCCAGCGTCATCATCTTCTCAACACTTAAAAGAAACTCAGCTTGTGTTGGTACAGCTCTCAACGCATAATTAATAAACTTCTGGAACTGTTTTATCACCCCGAGAAGACAACACTCTCTTATTGATAATTTCCGTTGACTAAGTTGTAATTCACGTTTTAATTTAATAATTTCATCATGGTTATGTCTAGCCTCACTTTCCAGCTCTTTTAACCTATCTATTGTGCCGTTTGTGAGCAAATCTTTCTCTTGAATACATTTTTTCCTCTCCATACACAACACATACATTAAACTAGCTATGTTGTTACATTGTAGGTTATGTTTAAGTTGTTTCATCACAACAGTAAACACATCCTCTTGATTTTCCAGTGCTTGTAGATGTCGCTCGTGTTGCCCTGCTAATTTAGCTCTGTACATGTCTTCTAAATCTCTTTCTTGTTGTCTCAGGTCATTCATGAACTTCTCGCTGAGTTCCGCAACAACAGCATCAACAGCAAACTGGATTTGATCCTCAAGATACTGTTCCTGTGCTTCGTGACACACCTTAATCTGTTCCTCGATGAGATTCTCATAGTATTCACGTAGAGTTGCTTCCAAATCAGCTAATTCACTAATAAGAAGCGCTTCGAATTCTTTATTCACTTGATCCATGTAGTTTCTGAATTGTTTCTCGCAGTTGCGCAGTGCTTGCCCAACAGCACGTTCTTTATCTCGTTCTGCAAGCATGAGGAGTAGTTCTTCAAGGTTTTGTAATGCGAGGCGTTTTTCTAGTTCAACAGCTGCGAGCCATTGTGCTTCGATTTCTTCGCCGATATTGAGGATGCCTTCATGCGTGAGGGCTTTGACGTGTTTTGCGGTTAATGGAGGGCGTAGGACTACTTTATCAATGAGGAGGTCACTTGGGGATAGCCAGAGGTTTTCCCCGGGACCTTGGAGGGGTGTAGAGAGGTGCATTTCATCTTTGAGTGATTCAGGACAATCGTCCAGTAGAACTTGAGCGAGTGCATGACCAAGTTGGAGTTTTGCTTCTGAAAATGGTGGCACTTGGAAGTTTTTGATGTAATGTTTACGTTTACGGTACGCACAACTGAATTGCATCATTTTTAACATGTGCACATTTAATTTTTATCGCGGGGACAAGAATTTTAATGGTTTTTGAGTGTTTTACATGGGAGACATGTTTGGAACTGTCGAAATTTGATTTGTTTCGTGGAGATTTATTGTTTTAACAGTTGCGAATCGAAAAGAGAGGAGAGAATAACCATGTTTACCACGGATTACCCGCAAAAAGTGGTGGGGGTTAGTGTACTGATACGTGATTGGTCGACTACGCGCAGTAATTTAAAACCTCCTGTAGAATAATTCAACGTATATGCAACCCTGCATACACCGAAAATGACAAGTCACGAAAACAAATGTTGAGTCTCCGTTAGCAAACAACAACAATAGACCATAGCTGCTTACAACTCGTAAATCTCGTATATCCTCGAAAGTGCGTCGTGGTGCGTTACTAGCCAAAACCCCATCAACAATGGACGCCTGCTACGCAGTAGAAAAAGAAGTCGATCGTGTCCTCTCCAAGTTCCAAGGCATCGATGACCATACAACGCGTTCATTACAAGACCTCATCGATACCGTTGAATATCTCCGAAAAGAATGGTCCACTAGTAAGCTAAATCACCCACAACCATCATATCTCTATTTATCAATAAATAATTCTAATCATTTAGCCCCGGCAGAGCACGAGATGACCGCAATACAAAAAGATGTCCTCAAACAAACAATGACGAAAATCAAAGACACTGTCATGCATCTCGCCACAGATCATCGCGATCTCCACGGCACCGTCTCCAAAGTAGGCAAAGCAATCGACCGTAACTTCGTCCCGGATTTCTCATCAACCACCAGCAAAGATGACATTTTCAACACACCAGACAAAGTGGAATTGGTCAACAAAGTCATCATACAACACCTACAGAGACATGGCTTCTATGAAGTGGCTGATATTCTCATGGGTGAAGCAAATGTAGCACTGGAACACAGCGATAAAGAATGTTATCTGGAATTGAATCATATTCTCGATGCACTGCAGCAACACAAACTGGATCCGGCTCTGCATTGGGTAGAAGTACATCGAGATGCATTAGCAATGAATAACTCTTCATTAGAGTTTAAACTACACCGACTTAAATTCATAGAGTTGATAAGGCAAGGCCCGCCGGCGCAGAATGAAGCCATCGGATATGCACGCACGCATTTCAAACAATTCGTGAATAGACACGAAAAAGACATACAATCACTCATGGGATTGTTGTTATACGTTCCGAATGGCATTGATAACAGTCCTTATAGTTGTCTGTTGGATAGGGAGGAATGGGTGGATGTCTATGAGATATTTTTGAAAGATGCGTGTACTTTACTCGGAATCAGTGTGAATTCACCACTGACGACTTGTGTCAATGCTGGCTGTACTGCTATCCCTGCTTTATTGAGTATTAAACAAGTTATGATGCAGCGACAAGTCTCAGGGATATGGAATGGCAAAGATGAATTACCTGTAAGTAAAATTTTAATATTTTTTATAAAAATATTTAAAAATTTTGATTTTTAGATTGAAATTGATCTTGGTAATGATTCACGGTATCATTCGATGTTTGCTTGTCCAATTCTCCGCCAGCAGTCGACGGATATCAACCCGCCGATGAGATTAGTCTGCGGACACGTTATATCTCGTGATGCGCTCAATAAATTGTGTAATGGCAGCAAGTAAGTATCAAAATAATGATTTTTATTTAGTTTTTTTGTGGTATTCGTAGTCGAACACATCAATTTATAGTATTTGTTACCTTTATTTTTAGGATGAAATGCCCGTATTGCCCTATGGAACAGAGTCCGACCGATGCGCGTCTTATCATTTTCTAAATTCATTTTTTTCATGTACACATCAGCTACACTACACTTCCACTTACAGTAAAATAATAGATCTCTGACGATTTGCAGTTTGTAGGTGAGTTATGTTAACACACGTTTGTTTTTGCGGAGAAATTTGTTTATTTGTTGGGATTTTTCAAGTCGAATACGAAGATTAATGTGTTACTTTTAGTTAGATGAAGAATATTGGACTTAGCATAGGATGGAATAACAGATATATGCATTGTTTTACAGTTTACACTTTATAAAAGAGTCTGGTGTAATAAAATATTAATATATTTAGTAAAAGTAAGAAATTTTATGGTTTAAGTTGCAAAAATCATGTTTTTGCATTTTTGGTAAGTTTTATAGTTTAATTATTTCAATTTATGTGATCGCCCTGTATATCCTGACTGTTTTTGTTGTATTACAGGTATTTTGTTGCTGTTTGTGATTTGTACACATTTTTGTCGACGAATTTCCATTGGTCCATCTTGTTTGGTGACGATGGATTCTTTGATGCCTTTCAGGCCTTTGATTCCTTTGACACCGTCTTCTGTACGTGTTCTATCACGGACAATGGTGTACACTGTCGAAATAGGTCTTTCTCTGCATCTAAAAATCCCAGAAACGCGTTTTCCTTCATCATACATTCATATTATCTAAAACCATCAAAAACTGCTCATTTATTGTTCGTGGCGACTGCAATTGTTGTTAATTATATTAATTTTTGTTCTAGAATGATTTTCCTTCTGTTTTTCATCAGTACCAACCAACAGATTGATTTTTCCTCGGGTTTTCATCACTTTACATAACAGTAAACCTATTTTAGTGTTACCAGTTGCCCGCAGATGGCGCAACATGTATTGTTATGGCATTTAATTCTCCTGCACGACCTGCAAGAGCAAGAAGTATATTCCTGCACCGCCAGTCTGTGCGTACGCGCCGCGCCGTGTAGTCGTGTGTCTCTTCGTGCCAAACAATCCAACGTACGATAGAAAAACGTGAGGTAAATGATGCACACCCGATCGACACTTGTTTTGTTTTGTTTGTTATCATCCGTGTGATTGTTTTGCGCGCGTTGGTATTAAATGGATGTTGGATTTATTCACGGCCATAAACACACACAGAGCGTTGATTTCCACAGGTAATAATTCATTAAATATTATGCAGTTTGTGTTTGTTGTTGGATGATTTCATTGTGGGCTCGTATTTGTTATTCAATGTATTCAATCTGCGGAGGTCACATCCGCGCGCGCCGAGTGCGGAGTGCTGAGTTCATTTTCATTTATGTCTTTATATCAACGACACAACAATCGCCTGCAACTGCAACACGCTCGGTGGTCATTACTCCTGCACTTGCAGGACGCTTGAAAATGCGCAATTAAAGCAGAATAAGACACTTTAATATGCAGGTTGTGCTGCAGAAAAGTGAAAGGTAACACTTGGCGTCCAGATTCTGTAGACGTGCAAAAACACTAGCGTTGATCTAATGTCTGCATCTATTACAAATCAATATTGTGATAAGACTCAAAGTCATGTAGACACCAGAACCAGACGTGCCTAAAAACTTATAGACTGAGTTTTTTTTTTTTGCATCGTAAAGTGATGTTTTTTGTGTTGTGTATAAGACTGGAGCGAGTACTCGCAGAATATTCTATGATGTCTCTCTGGAAAGGTAATTTAATGGAGAATAAACGTTGAGTTTAGTTGAGTGTGTACAATTTGGAGTTATTGAGTAATTGGGGTGTAAGTGGAAGTCTGCACTCACAGCTAGGCACAGAAGTTTAAAGTTTTTTGTCGCGCGCTTTTTGCGATCGGATAACTTTTGAGAGAAACGTCTTAGAATTTCGGGGAATATCTTAATTTGAAGATAATTTAATAGGGAATTATATTGTTTTTGACTAAAAAGTTTTTATCAAGTATCTAGGGAGTTACAAGACTTTAAATGGGAAAAAGCAGGTTTAAAATTATCATACTTTAAGAATTTTAGTTATGCAACTTTGCAATCCTGTAACTTTTCATAGAATTAAGTTAGGATTTTGGGGAATCTTTCAATTTATAGTTAATTTAATTGAGAATTATATTGTTTTTGTTTCAAAGATTTTCATCAAATGTTTAATGAGTTACAAGAGTTTAAATGAGAAAAATCAGGTTTAAAACTACGCTTCTCAAAGAATATTTGTTTTGCAACTTTGCAATCGTATAACTTTTTATAGAAAAATGCTAGAATTTTGGGGAATATCTCAATTTATAGTAATTTAATTGAGAATTACATTGTTTTTATCTCAAAGATTTTCATCAATTTTTTAAGGAGTTACAAGAGTTTAAATGAGAAAAATCAGGTTTAAAATTACGCTACTGCAGGAATTTTTGTATTGCAACTTTGCAATCGTATAACTTTTAATAGAATTAAACTAGAAAATTGGGAAATATTTCAATTTATAGCTTATTTAATTGCGAATTAAATTATTATTTGTTCAATTTAATAAATTAATTTTCATAGAAGTTACAAAGCATTGAAATTGAAAAAAATGCAAGTCTGGAAGATGACAATTTGTAATCACTTAAAATAAAAATAGAAATAGCGCTGTGAGAAAATGAAAATGTCGCCTGCAGCAAATAAAATAAAAGATGGTAAAATCCACCCAAGGTGGCGCAGTACCGCAGTGATATTATTAATAGTGGCGGCTTTAGTTTGCGGGGTTCACCAGGGTCGACCGGGTGCGTTAGTCCCTTCGTTTGTCTCCGGTCTCTACACCTTCCCAACCACCCACAAACCCCCAAGTTGGTTTTACAACCCTACTACCCTCCGATGTGATTTATTACGGCGTGCGCGTATTTTTTATTATTTTGTCGTCGCGACTGGATTCTCACCTGCAGCTACAATTTACGAAATTGTCGCGGTGGTTCCATATTTAATTTGGTAAATGTGCACTTTCGGTCTAAATATATAACGCGGATGAGCGGCGGCGCAGCGGAGGGACGCAAAGACGAAGATGTTGTTGACGCTTCTATTTTCCGGCGCGTTTAGGTGTACCTGTTATTTATAATTAGATGAAAGTCGACGCAGTGCGGTGGCAACCCCACAGTTTGCCCCCAGACTCAGAGCGCAGCTCGAGCTTGAAATTGGAATCGAGTTAAATCTTATTATTTTAGCCGAGTTTATGTTAAATTTGCGCTTTATGCGCGCAGGGAATTGCTGGAAAAGTTCATATTACTCTGTTTTTGCTTAAATTACTTGTAAAAATATTGCTGAGTATAGAATTACTTAGTTTTACAGTCGTTTTACTGAAAAAATATTGTTTTTAACATGAAAATCATTTTTTTTGTGAGGCACGTCGTGAAAAGCGTATAAATTAGTAGTTGTAGTGTTAAGTAATTTAATTATATTTATTTTGAAAGATATATGAGTAAAATTGAATAACACGTTCGGGAATTATTTATAATTTTGTTAAAAAAGTCGAAAAACTAATTTTTATAGCAAAATTTACTATTTTTGCTTATAACACCCTGTAGAAGCAATGCAGAAACATAAATTTTATATCATTTTATTCGTCTTTTACCACTTTTTAATTGTATATAAAGTTTATAAAAGTTTAAACAAAAATCAAAAAGTTATTAACATTTTACTAAACAAATCCAAGAAAAAACTTGATATTTTTTTATAAAATTCGCATTTTCCCAATAAAAAAACATAAAAATCTCACAAAAATACATAGAAAATAGTAGAATATTAACGAATAAATAAAATAAAATTTAAACAAGTAATTTTACACCTGTACGAATAAAATTACAGGACTTTAAACTGAGGGGTCAAGTTTAAAATGTGCTTGTACTCGTAATTCGGATGTGTGTCTGTCGATATTGTTAATACCTGATGTCTGATATTATTGTACTTTGATCGCGAAAGTATTGCCACCGCCGGCGACTTTCCAGCAGCAGCAGGAGTGTCCGCTGCAGTATCCAACACACCTGGTGTTAAGTTAAAAGTTAGAAGAGAAAGTAGCGGAATACACCGCACAACAACAACAACAACAACGAAAAACAAACGAAATACTACTATACGCATTGCATACTCGTGGATTAAGTTACGCTCAGTCGCTCAGTTACACTGTTACACATTTTTATTAGTCGAAACAATTCCGGTTGCGCTATTGTCATCATCAAGCCTCAAGTTCCCATGGTAACATAATAACTTGACTTCTTCTACAAAGTGTAAAAAATTTGATTCTTGCTTGGTATTTTTGGTAAAATCCTCCGGGGAACCAAATTTTGAGTTTATTTTAAGTGTTTTTGTTTCGTTTTTTATTGGTTGTAATATTTTTGATAATATAAGTTGCTATTTTGAGATAATTGAGATTTAATGCAAAATTTTTATTATTTTTTTACTTAAAATGGATTTTTTTCATTGAAAAAACATAAAAATTTAACAAATTAGTAGTAGTAGTGATAAATAATTAAATTGTCTTTAATTTGACACCTGAAGTAGTTAAATTGAATAATTTATTCGTGAATTATTAATAATTTTGTTAAAAAAGTAGAAAAATCGTAATTTTTAAGGCAAAATTTAATATTTTTGCTTTTAACACCCTGTAGAAATGTCTAAATTTATAAAATTTTATACTATTTAAAAGATTATGAAATTCTCTTTAATTTGACTCTATATTTACAAAAATTGAACAAAAACTCTAAGAATTATTCACTATGAAACTTTCAGTTTGATTTTAACTTCTACAAAGTGTATAAACAAATTTTGTCGTATATATAATGTGTGCATGGGTGTAAAAATAATGCAATCGTGCGTGAAATCCTCATCGATGTGGCCTTCCCTTTTCCGATTTCCATCCGCTTCACAAAGCCTGCTTTTAGTCTTTGGCGACATAATTATTAACATGTGTACAAGACTAAAATTAGATTTTCATTTTCAGCGTGTGAAGCGGCGTGTGCGTAATGCTCTTACAAGCACAGGCGGCGCAGGCGGCTGTGCCGACGTTGGCCGCCACCGGGCACTCGGGAGGCGGCAGTGTCGGCAAGGCAGCGAGTATTTTCAATGGTCTCGGGCATGCTGAGGCCAGAGCACATATGCTTGACTATGCACCGGCGCCTGGATGGACTGTGCATGTCAACAAAGATGGCCGACTTTATTATTGCAAGTAAGTGCATTGAAAATTCCGCCCAACTTTTAATTGCTTCACCGAGAACGTAATTTTCTAATTTCGGGTACTTATTATTTAATTACTCGGCTTTCCTCATCGCGCATATTAAATATTTCGTGTTGTGTGCGAGTTAAATTTAAAATTCAAATCTTAATACGCTGGGGAAGTGCGAGAAGACGAGGCGCAGGCGCGTGTCGCTGCGCACTGATTAGATAATTAAATAATGAAACTTCCCTCCCTGGTGCCACACGTAATTTCGGCGAAAAGTTTTAATTAGAAACGTTCGATATCAAAAACAGAACGAGTTTATGTTTTTTGCTTATAATTTTCGGTAGAGTTCCCCCGGGGACGGAAATTTTGGGTTTACCTGGAGTGATTTTGTACACTTTTTTATTATGTGTAATAATTTGGATTGTATCTATCACCATTTTGGAATTATTTGAGGTTTTTGTTAGTTTTTGGTCTTTAAGTGGCTGGTAATATCTTAAAATTATTTTTATTTGCAAATATTCTTTCTGAAACACCCTGTATCTTTTGTATTAATGGTACTTTTGGTAGATTTTCTGATAGTATTTGTTCACAGCACTCTAGAAAATTAATTTTAGTGAATTTATTAGTATTTCTCACATTTTTGGAATGAGAATTGCATTTTCTCTACAAAACACTCTGTATCTTTTGAACTATTAGTACCTTTTCAATTTTCTTTTTAGTTTTTGTAAGGTAAAGAGTTCTTCTTTAAGTTTTAACATTTCATCGACTCTAAAATCATCGAGAAACACTCGGGAGCAACTAAAATGATATTTATTTATGGAAAATTGCATTTGGTGTACAAAACACTCTGTATCTTTTGAACTATTAGTACCTTTTCAATTTTCTTTTTAGTTTTTGTAAGATAAAGAGTTCCTCTTTAAGTTTTGACATTTTTCCGACTCTAAAACAATCGAGAAACACTCTGGAGCCACTGAAAATGACATTTTACAATAAAATATGCATTTTGCATACAAAACACTCTGTATCTTTTGAACTATTAGTACCTTTTTAATTTTCTTTTTAGTTTTTGTAAGATAAAGAGTTCCTCTTTAAGTTTTGACATTTTTCCGACCCTAAAACAATTGAGAAACACTCTGGAGCCACTGAAAATGACATTTTACAATAAAATATGCATTTTGCATACAAAACACTCTGTATCTTTTGAACTATTGGCTCCTTTTTAATTTTCTTTTTAGTTTTTATAAGATAAAGACCTCTTCTTTAAGTTTTGATTTTATTTTTGATAATTTCATCATAAAACACTCTGTATTAAGTTAATTAATATTTGTATTGCAGTTTTCTGTATTCAAAAATCAATTTTTTATCCGGAAAACATTTATTTATGTGCTGAAAATGCAATTCGAAGCTAGAATTGTAAATACAATCTACGTATCTAATATTTCCTCCCGTTCCTTTGAGTTTGCGAGTGTTGAGGGGTGGCGTCTCCAATTCGAGATGAAATTTAGATGGCTGACGCAATGTTTGCGTGTACAGCGCGAAATTTGCAATTTTCATCGAGCTGAATAAACATTGCTCATCGCTGCAAACTGGATTCGAACTTCCGGCCGTCCGAGCTTTCATACTCATAATTCTCGTACTGTATCTGGCTGCTGCTGCGCGATGCTGGTGTTGGTGTTGGTGGTGGAGAAAAACGATATTACATTTCGTCTCTCCGGAAAGCTTCATCTTGTTTGAGATGCGCCTCGAAAAGATGAGAAGCAGATAACTATTTGCGGGCGCGCAAGAATGCGACGGTATAATTTCCACCCTCTCCGAGTGCTTTGCGGTGAACCCTCTCCAACATCCTTTGACTCTCACTTTACCAGCCGTTTAAGTTTCCTCTTCCAGACTTTGTGATTTTCACAACTAAACTCAAATCGACAAACATTATTCGAGCAGGAGCTTCGATAAATTATTCTATAAATTGTATCCTACTATAGTTGATGGGTGTCGTAACACTTGCAGGGGATATAAATATAATAAGGGATGATGAGATTCCATTTCGTGCGCGAAATGGTGGAAAGAAACAGACGGTTCGCATTTTTTCGTTATCGCTACTTTCCCCCATTCGTACGATTAAATTATTTCTCGTAAAATGTCGTCGGGGGATTACTTTAACGTCACTCATTTCAAGACATGGGTTTTATGGATATTTTTAGATTTTTTCGAATATTTTTGGCGGGAAAATATCAAAAACTCAGAAAAATCTAACCTAACTTCCGGTGGACATTTTGTGACCAACTTATTTTGAATATTTTGGCGGGAAAATATCAAAAACTCATCAAAATCTAACCTAACTTCCGGTGGACATTTGGGGACCAAAATTTTTTGAATATTTTGGCGGGAAACTAATAAAAAATCATTAAAATCTAACCTAACTTTCGGTGGACATTTCGGGACCTAAATTTTTCGAATATTTTGGCGGGAAAATATGAAAAACTCACAAAAATCTAACTTAACTTCCGGTGGACATTTCAGGACCAACATTTTTTGAATATTTAGGCGGGAAAATATCAAAAACTCATCAAAATCTAACTTAACTTCCGGTAGACATTTTGGGACCTAATTTTTTTTAAATATTTTGGCGGGAAAATATCAAAACATCATCAATATCTAACCTAACTTCCGGTAGACATTTTGGGACCAAATTTTTTTGAACATTTTGGCGGGAAAACCTGAAAAACTCATCAAAATCTAACCTAACTTCCGGTGGACATATTTAGAAACCAAAATTTTCACATTTTTGACTTTTTGAGTAAATTTTCTCTCCTGCTAGTATATTATATGCAATGCCTGACATGAAAACGGCACATGACGTACAGTTATGCGTGGAGCTTGTGGGCCTGCGATTAATGGCTGTTTGAGAATGCGTGTCACTTGCAGGCGGAACCACCCTTGACAAATATGACCCGCGGAGTTCGCCGCTGTGCACCTTTACTTCATCCAGCTGCGATAGATTTTCCGAATTCAAATTGGCCACGTGTGCAAAACTCAATAGCGGCGAGTGTGCTTCACCCTCTTCAATTCGCTTTTCCTGCCTCTCGTGCTCTGGGGCCAGCTGATGCTAAAGTAAAGGAAAACTCAGATTTACGTGATGTAAGCGCGGGGTAATTAGAAGTTGCTCGGGCAGACGTTTATCAGTGTAACATCACCGCAAAGTGTCGTTCAGGCTCCAGTGCTCTCGGGGATTTTATTGACTTGGGGTTGCTCACCTCAGGGCTTTTTCCGCTTCCACGAACTTACAATGGGAATGCTTGTAATCGATTGATCTATTTTTGGTTAACATTTAATTTGAGTTTGGGTGGAAATTTGGATTTTATTGTAGAGTTTTATGCGATCTTCTTTCTGATACACCTTGTATATCTTAGAATGATTGTAGTTTTCTGATAGTGGGTATTTTTAGTACCTACTATTATTTAAATTACTTAAGTTTTTTGTTAGTTTTTGGCTTTTAAATTTTTTATTTGCAAATATTCTTTCTGGTACACCCTGTATCTCTTGTATTAATGGTAGTTTTGGTAGATTTTTTTATATAGTGTGTTCACAGCATTCTAGAAAATTAATTTTAGTGAATTTGTTAGTAATTTTCACATATCTACAATGAGATGTGCATATGCGCTACAAAACACTCTGTATTTCTTAAACTATTAGTACCTTTCTAATTTTCTTTTTAGCTTTTGTAAGATAAAGAGTTATTCTTTAAGTTTTTATATTTTTTAGACCCGAAAACCATCGAGAAACACTCGGGAGCAACTGAAAATGACATTTTACAGTAAAATATACATTTGGCGTACAAAACTCTCTGTATCCCTTAAACTATTAGTATTATTTTAATAATCTTTTCAATTTCTGTAAGATAGAGACTTCTTCTTTATGTTTTGAGATTTTACAGACCCTAAAACCATCGAGAAACACTCTAAAAATGACATTTTACAATAAATATTAATTTGGTGTGCAAAACACTCTGTATCTTTTAGACTATTAGTATCTTTCTTATTTTCTTTCTAATTTTTGTAAGATATAGAGCTCTTCTTTGAGTTTTGACATTTTACAAACCCTATAACCATCGAGAAACACTCGGGAGCAACTGAAAATAACATTTTGCAATAAAACGTGCGATTTCTTTACAAAACACTCTGTATCTTTTAAACTATTAGCACTTTCCTAATTTTCTTTTCACTTTTTGTAAGATAAAGAGCTCTTCTTTAAGTTTTCACACTTTACAGACCTAAAAACGACATTTTTCTTTCGGAATCACTCGGTATAACTCAAATTAATATTTTTCTCTTCCCGAGAATGTTATTAATGAATACTGATTAAACATGTGTGAACCCTCATACATCTCCTCGTGGCATACATTAATCATCGCAATAATCCGCCCGCCTCCACGTCAAAATTACATTTCATTTAGCGCGCGCCGAGAAGACTTGACTTTTCACGGCGTCCGTAAAGAAGTCCCTGCAGACGCAGAAAAGATTATCCCAGATCCAAGAGCCACGGGGAAAGGAAACGAAACGAAACGCATCTGGCTCTCAATCTCCTTCAGTCTTACACTCGTTCAGACATCCAAGTCATCCCCAACTGGGAGAGCGCGCCGGGATATGTGCGCTTCCTGTTCGTAAGCTTCTTTATTTTGTTCGAAGTGAACAGACGGGGGAGAGCGTCGAGCTACTTTGCGTCGCGTTAATAAAACAGGGTCGACGTGCGGCGAAACATTTTCCCCATTTTCCGAATTGCTCTATTAACGTCGTTAGTTGACGCTTGGAGTAAAAACAGACGGGGTGGTACTTCGCCGGAATCCTCGCGTTCTACGTGCGGATTATTAGATTTTTGGATTGACCGAAAATGTGATCATTATACACGCGTTGAATTTAATGGGAATACGTGCGATGGTCACCCACACAAAGTGTCGATGTCGATGATTCATGGCGTAACGAGGCGTGCATTTAAACAATTGCGCCAACATC